ACAATTAGGCCATGTTCTTTTGGATTGGAATTTCAAAGTTGGATGTTGGAAGAAACTGGAAGGAGTTGGAAGAAATTAGGAGTTGAAAAAAACGAGTTGAAAAATGCAGGAAGAAATAAAGTGTTAAAAGCCACTCAATGAAATGATCACCCAAATAAATATGTAAGAAAACTCTAATTTTGGATAAAAAATAATTCATCCTTGTCCGTATTTGAAGTGGTATGTTATAAATTTGAATATATAATGTTATTGTATATTTGTCATATATAAATACCCTTTTTAAGTCGTTGGAAGAATTGGAAGGAGTTGAAAGAAACTGAAAGGAGTTTGGAAGAAACTAGCAAAAAGTTGAAAAAGGTTGGAAGTTAAATTTGAATATATAATGTTATTTGTATATTCATAATATATAAATACTTTTTTTAAGTCGTTGTTGGAAGAAACTGGAAGGAATTGAAAGAAACTGAAAGGAGTTCGAAAGAAACTAGCAAAGAGTTGAAAAAAGTTGGAAGTTAATTTTTCCAACCCAAAAGAACAAGGCCTTAGTATACTACTAGCAGAAAATAAGGATAACATACCCAGCCACTTGGCTTAGTATTCCACACATGTTGTGTTGATATGTCGCTAGATTCATCAACCACAGATCTTAATTTCCCAGAAGGAAACCTGCCTGTCATTGTACTGATTGATGATGTGAACACAACTCTTTTCACCGAGTTCGCTTTCAGGACAGATTTAAGAACGTTTAGTGTCCCTTTGATTGCCGGATCGATCACCTTTTCTAGAACATAACTGTCTTCAAGACGGAACAGATTAAAATTGTGTACATCTGCGTCATTTCCTTGAATTCAATCGTGTCAAAATTAGAATTTCAACTAACTCACCAATATTGTGGTTTGCTTGTAAACCGAAATCCATTGATGCGGCTACATGGAATACTCCATCACAGCCTCTAAATGCTTCGTCAAAGCTCCCCTCTTCGTTTAGATCAGCTTTGAACAATTTCAGCCGGCCCAACAATTTTAACAAATGAAGTGCCTTTTCTGGTCAAAGTTGAGAGTGCACATAATAAGATGAATCCCTAGAGGCAAACACCATTTCAATTGCAAATTCCTCGCAACTTGTAAACAATCATTCTTAAGATATTTATGACTTCTACTTTCAAATACGCTATTTAAACATCAAAGTTTGAATGCGGCAAAATAGATACTGCCTCTTAAGTGAACAGAGCAAACAAGCTGAAAAGCAATGAATTCCAAGTATGAATTATTCTAGATCGATCCGCAAGAGTATGCATAAAAGGGAAATGCAACAATAACAACCAAAAAAGCAAGAGAGAGAATTGTCAGACCGGGATGGCGAACGGTGGCATGTACATTGTAGCCCTTGTGGAGGAGAGATTTAATGAGCCACGATCCTATGAAACCTGAACCTCCTGTTACACAATATGTTATGCTGTTCCGCGTCTCTGTTCCTTCTTTGCCGGCTTTCTCCTCCATTTTTGGTGCACAGCCTCTAATCTTTGTGGTAAGCAAGAAACAGTGAGTGTAAAAAACAAAAAAACAAAAACAAAAACAAACAACAGGTTCCAACCGTAGTCTGTTTTAAAACAATTTGATGGATGTTAATCCACTCCAATAAACGAGCCATTCTTTATTGGACTCTCACACGCTAATATTATCAATAGTGAATATAAAAGATTAGGCAATCGCACAAACTCTTTGACAATAAGAACTCAGATTTTTATTATGAATTTATGATATTTAAGGGGGTACTTAGAGGGTGTTAGTCTGTTAGAGTTCCTGGTTCGACTCTAATCAGTCCCCAAAATCTTGGGATTTGATTGAGTTGGTTAAGGTAACGAACGAGACCCTTTCCCCAAGCTTTCAAACCCTAGCAACCACACCACCCGCCTTGGTTATTCGTGCCACATGGCCAATACGGACTGACCCGCCTGTCTGGCCCATGGGTCGCTCACCGGGCTACTCACTTGGAGACATACATTAGGCTTGCTACATGAATAATAATTCCTTAGCCCTAATATACCCATCACAAACCCCTTAGTTTCTTATACGGGCCTTCCCGAAGGAGTAGCCCCGTCAAAAAATTACAAATATAAAATCAACTATACTTAACATTTCAATCAAAAATATGAAAGGTTCCTTGTCACGACACGCGCCTAGCCACCCTAGGGAACAGACTCCATCAATAGTTGTTTCCATCATCATCGTGCGTCATTGTTGCTCTAGGACTGTGCACGAATCCTATGCCCTTTCAACACTGCCTCTTCCCATTCAAGTACACCTTCTTCTTCAATTCAACATTTACCTTCTCAAAATCCCTAACCGAGCCTCCGCAGAAGATAGCCACTTCAGAGTTCAGACCCTCTTCGTCCCCAATTTCTTTGAATTGCTTTGCCGTTCTTCCCTAATTGCTTTAGAGATGGTGCATATTAACATGGCGACTTGGGAACCTTCTCCCACCACCAAAATTGCTGAATTGGACAAAATGCAGAAGTTATTGAGCTGGTCTGTGCTCTTTGGGACAGCAATCTGACAACCAACCAAACTACTTATCATGTGTTTCTCTTGCACTATGAATCTGTTAGGTTGGGTTTCCGTCTCCCCTTCCACACTTCAGTACGAGTTATTACTGATCTGTCATAGTCATTCCATCCTGCCAGGTCAACTTACTGCCATAGGTATCAAGGTGTCTCCTAGGCGTCCTCGCGGTCCGCTCCTCTCGTCATGGTATATTGCTTTGCCTTATTTTGCATCCCTCGACTAGGCGTCCAGGCATCGACTTTTGAAACTGAATTATGCCTTTTAGTGAGTGACTTTTTTTATACTCAGTATTTAGTTTGCACTAAGAAGTCGCATATTGTGTTTTAATCATATTTCGTATTTCATATTCTTCTTGTTTTCATATTATGTTGTGTATATTTAATTTATGTATGTGTATATGAAACTTTGATTAGGTTTAGAGAACAAGTATGTTTATATTTATATTAGTGTTACTAATGTACACCAATGCTGATTTCTTATGTGTTGCCACCTAGGTTGCCTAGTCGTCTAGGCATCATGGTGGTACTGCCACCGCGCCTCACCTTGGCGCCATGGTAACTATGCTTACCGCCAACGCCCACCGGACTATTTTCCCTTTCATCCTACGGTGCACTAAGAAAGAGGCTCCGGCGACCTACGAATCCTCCCGGCACTTCTTTGCCCTGAGCGGAGTGCCCTATGTGAGCGTCTTTCCTCACCCCAAGTGAGTTCTTTTTGCCCACGTCCCAAGCAAGGTGAAAAAGTGGGACGCCAACTCCCAGCAATCTTTACCAATGAATGCTTAGTAATCAAATGCTAAGAACCCTTTATAACTGCAAATGCAAATAATCCCAACAAAACTGTCCCTATGTTTGTAAGACGAAAGTCATTTTCTTATGATTTTGCAGACACAGGACATGGAGGTAACCATCAATACCACCACACTCGAAAGAGTTTTTTTTTTGAAAAAATCACCATCCATGCTGACTATTTGCAGACTTCACAACTTACACAATTGAACTAACAAAGTCAGATTCACCAGTAAGCATGATTGAAGGAAATTAAATCATTGGCCCAAGTTCTAACAGATCTAAGATCATTAGAAGTTAACCATGAACTAAGACAACAAATAAATAAAGAACAACAAAGAGGGTACATATTTAAAATCCGAAATTATAGAAGAAATTAAAGGGTTCTGGGAAATATATCTATCATAGAATTCTTAAACAAATGAATTTTTAAGCCGAAATTGGACATTAAATAGTGAACGTCCTTTAAAATCTCTTCAAAACAGCAAGAAATTACAGAATATTTTTCAAGAATATTAATATACTTGAGTCCGGTATTGCTTCGCGTCGTCCTTCAATTCCTTTTCCGATGGATTATAGGTCGTCTTTAACCTTCAACTCCTTCCTCCATTTCCTTTCGAAGATGAATGTCACTCTGACACTCTCCAAATCACAATAAAGGCCAAATAAGTGAAATAACTTTTAAAATTATTTTAATTATAAATTGTTAAAAAATTAAAAAAATACGGAGTACATATCATTTTTATATTGAAAAAATCATTTTAAAAAATACTCCTTACAAAGTTACTCCCTCCGTCCTAAAACTTTTTTCTCAGAGCACTATTCCAACTTCACGAGAATTTATATTTATTTGTATTTTTTCATGGCCTATATGATAAAATAAAATATTCTTGTCACTACTTGTTTTGTTAAACTTTTGATTTAGTTTTTAAATATGTATGTTTTATTTTTTATTTCTATACCAATATTTAAATAAAATAGATTAAAAGAACTTGAGATTTTTCTTCGTTTTGCGCAACGGGAAGAAAGTTTTAGGACGGAGGGATATATACTCTTTACATATCACACACACAATATACCTGTTGCTCTATTAAAAAACATAGAAATTGGGGGGATCATTCCCTATTCTAAAGCCTAGAAAAAAAAGTTGGTGAACCAATTTAAAGCTATCTATGTAAGTTAAGTAAAAGAAATATTTGCACTAAATAGCACTAAAACTTAAGTAATTTCCCTAAATACACTTAAATTATTTTATTTCCTAAATAGCACTTAATAATGTCCATAATGTCCTATGATGGTGAATATTTACTTGAATAATGACTAATGCATAATGACTAAAAGTGCTACATTGGGAAGAAAAACATATGTAGTGCTATTTAGAGAAAGTCATTATGTTTTAGTGTTATTTAAGTAAATTTCTCATAGTACGAATTTTTATTTATGGAATAGAACATGAAACTTCTATTTTTCGTACTTTTTCTATGTTTTGGTCCTGTAAAGCTGAAGATTCAGCTTAGAGACATGAACACGATGAAGAAGAAGGAAGAAGAAACTTTATTCTGAGATGTCTCATTAAGCATACATCGTCACCTTGATCAGATACAGAATGAGCCTATTTATACACCATAGCTAACTACTAACAGAGATAACAAACTTGGAGTAACAATCAAAACAGACTTAACTAACTGCTAACCACTTCTAACCACCAAACTAACTTCCACATGTCTCTACAGGAGTGTGATTTCTTTAAATTTTATTTTTTAATTTTACACCTACCATTAAATAAATTGAATTGAAAATGAATACAGTCAATTTTGATAAATAAAAACAAGAACAACGTTCTAGGACGGAAGTATTAATTTTTCATTACTCATTCACAAAGATTTTTTAATTAAGCCCGTCACCCACTCACCCCTAGACCTGCCCTTCTCTCACTCTTTTTTTCTTTAGCACCGAATCCGCCGCCGCTGCTCGGAGAATAAGAACCAGAGTTCAACCGCTTTTTTCCGATCTGCTCCGTTCCATATTGCGTCGTGCAGCGGTGCAGGTGGTCAGCATATATTTTTTTTTCTTTCAATTAAAAAACATAAATTGAGCATATTGATAAATTTCTAGACAACCAGTCTGCAGCCAGCAGGGCCGGCCCATTAGGGGACAAGCAGTCCGATCGGGCTGAGCCCAATAAAAGGGGCCTATTTTTTAAAATATTATATATTGAAGCCCAGCCCAGCCAAAGCCAGAAGGAAGTCGCCCACCTACACGCTCCACTGCTGCAGAGTCTAGCCGCTGCCCTCCAGACGCCGCCTCGCCGGAAACTCTCCATCCTCCAGGTCCAAGTCCAGGTACGGAGGTAAAAAAAATACTAGTTTCAGAATTTCTTTAAGAATTTTACATTTTGTTACGTGTAAATATGCAAAATCTTTAATCTTTATAAATTTGTGTTATGAATTTGTTATGAATTTTTGATGTGAATTTGACAATTTTTTATATGGATTTTTCATGTGAAAAATTGAAATCCTTATTTGAAATTTCTGCTAATTGTTATGAAATTTGTTGTGAAAATCTGAAATTCTATTAATTTAGTAATATGAAGATCTGTTTTTTTTGGAACTTTAGAGTTTGTATTTGTGTATTTTATTTCACTAAGATGTGATCAACCAATTTGCTCTAAAAAATGCAAGGTGAACTTTACGAATTCTCGGCTAGCTTTTACACTATGTAATTATACTACTATGATTTTGTCATTTACTTATTTTCTTTTAATACTATTGGGTTAATTGTCATTTAAATATAATTAGTTTACATATTTTAATTGTTTAGACCAATAGGGAATTAGGGAGAAGACTTCTAAGGCCTTTTTTTCCTGTCTCGGCCCAGGCCGTTGAAGTCTCAGGACCGGCCCTGAGTTGGAAAATATTGGAAGTTAAGAGTAAACCCTCAAAAGAATAGAGCCTTAATGGGGTTGAAATGTTGAATTATGGGGCATAAGATAAACTGTCGCTAAATGAATGTGGCAAAAAAGTTAAATGAGTGATTGCATAAGCTTATCAATAGAGCATTCCTATAATTCCTCATCTTTAATTGAATCTTATTATGATAATGGAAAATTTTGGCTCTGAAGGCTGTTATTATCCTGGCGTCAACCATAATTATTTCTCATTCTACCTACCTCTGGTAGCATATAATTCTCAGTTCTTGATAGATTAAATATTGACATTGATCATCATTTTCTCCCTCCTGCTTACATTAAATGGAATAAGTTCCACACTTGTTAATGCTGATTAGAGGCACCTGTAGACACATGTAGTCTCCCTGCGTTTGAATGAGTCTTATAGAAGCTATTCAACTTGCCTACGACATAGTTCAATTTTAGGAAAAAGCATGCATTATATGATAAATGCTTTTATCTAAGGGCTTGTTCATCTGATTGATTTTGATCTGATAGGAACAAGTTCTAATCTTGTCTGGTCGATCTGATCTGAATGTAGTTATTTTTAAAGCTGTTTCTGATCTGGGTTGCTCTGATGTGAACTGATTCTAATAAGAATAAGTAAAAGTAATAAGAATAAGTTAAAGAATCCAAATCCAATTTTATGACATAAGTAATATGGATTTGCAGACACAGACATGACAAAGAGAGAGAAGTCCGTAAATGTATCTGGGAAGCCCAAGCATTCCCTCGATGTGAATAGAGATGGCAGTGGAACTAAGGGTGGCCGTAGCGCCGGCACTGTACGGCGGCTAAAGATGTACAACAATAGGCCTAAGCGTGATCGGAAGGGAAAAGTGTTAAAGCACGAATTCCAATCCAAGGATCTGCCTTCCACTCGGATTCAACCAGATCCCCGATGGTTCGGTCAGTTCTCTCATTCTTGTTGAACTTTAAGCTTTTCTGCAATTGTGCATACACCTTTATATTGTTTGCTATTCTAACTTGTGGATTTTGGTGCAATTAGTAAAATGAAGGACTAGTCATATCATAATTGTTTGTTTTTACCTTGTTCAATGGAAGTAAATTGAGACTGCTTTCTGACGTCATTTCAAACTCCGTAGGCAATACACGAGTAGTAGATCAGAAAAAGCTGGAATTCTTCCGTGAAGAGTTGCAAAACCGGATGTCTAGTAGCTACAATGTAATCTTGAAGGATAGGAAATTGCCATTGTCCCTTTTAAATGATCATCAGAAGGTACGGGATTTTGTTGAATGGTGCATAACTATATTGCTAAATGCACTGTGGGTACATGAATCCATCACTCACCACTAATTTTGTAAGATTTTTCTTTATGTTAACTCTGTACCTATTTTTATTTGGTCGGACATTTAATTTCAAATGCTTAGGTCATGTGGTCATGCCTAGTTTTGTATGGGAATGCGTTCAGGTTCTTTAGTACCTCAAAATGACTAGTTAAATCATTTAAAAGATAGACGTATCACTATTTTGTTAAACATTAAATGAAATCATGTTCACCTAGGAAGCACAGGTGCGGCAAAATACAGGCTCACAAAGCACTGTTCCGGTTCAGGTGCGGCGGTACACGTCGGTGTACCTTGGGTGTGCGATGGGTGCGGTGTGGTGGTTTTGTAGTTTTTTTCTTTTTTGCGGATTGCTTAGGAGGCGAATTGGGACCGCTATGGATAGGAAGTATTCGGCGATAGCTTTTTGCAGAGTCGCAACGCGGAATCGAGAAGAAGAAAGGCCGGGCCGGATCTGCCCTTTGACCTGCGCCTCAAAATGGTTTGATTTTGTTTTTTAAGCGTATTAGGTCATACTCCGTCTTTAGGGTTTGCTTTTGTTTTGTTCTTTTCTTCCTTTTTTATCCTTTTGTCATTTTTAATTTACTTTGTTGGGTTTGCTTTTGGAACTTGCTCAATTCTTCTGTCATTTTTTAATTAGGCTGAAATTTCCTAAATTTGTCCCTACATATAAATTACTCAATTATTGGGTGTTTTTGTATGTTTTATTAATTATTGTGTGACTTATATTATGTTTCCTATCTATTTTGTACGTATTTTATAAAAAATATTAATATAAATAGAAATGTATATAAAGAAATTTGTCGCACCCATTACCGCACCCGCAACCTGGTTTTTATTTTTGAAAATTTCCGCACACGCGCACCAGTCGCGCCCCCGCACTTGTGCTTCATCGATGTTCACAATGGGCTGCAGAATAAACTTGTGCTTTGTATATTATTCCCTCTGTTGCACTATCTCTGTCCTTTCCAGAATTCAATGAGCATTCGGTAAAATACCTTAGTCATGTCACCTCTTGTTTTATAGAGCTTTTGATGTACCTTTTAAATACTACATATATAAATTTAATTATTTGTTTTAAAATTCTACTATAATATTCTTTAGTAAAACATATTAGATCTGTAATGTGACAAAGTAGGATGGAGGGAGTAAAATATATTTATATTCGTTGTTAATTTACATCTTTCTTATGCATATCTTGGGGAAGCAAGCAAGAGTTCATCTGCTTGACACCGAGCCTTTCGCTGATGTGTTTGGACCTAAAGGGAAAAGGAAACGCCCAAAGCTTATGGCATTAGATTATGAATCACTATTAAAGAAGGCAGATATTTCTCAAGGTTTATTAGATGATTCTCTAATTCTGGTTCAATACCTGCACCTAGTATTGGCTGATTTCTTTTTAATAATTTTTCTTTTCATTTGTGACTCAACAGATTCATTTGAAGAGAAGCACAGTGGAAGTGGTCACGTGGAAGGAAATGAAGATGGGGTTAGAGATGCTGTACGACATACCATGTTTGAAAAGGGTCAAAGTAAACGCATATGGGGCGAGCTCTACAAAGTCATAGACTCTTCTGATATTGTTGTTCAGGTTCATTAGTGTGTTTTCAACCACCTTTTAGTTAGAAGCAAAGTTGAACAATGCATAATTTTTATTTCACCTCATTTCACCTAGGGGTTGGATATGCAATTACGCTAGTAAGATAACAATCATTTTGGAACATAGTTGTATATAATTTATAAAAAATTCACACCCTGATAATTCTTTTCACAATGTATTTGCTTTTAATATGTCAATGCTCAAAAGTTATCTTATTGTCACAAGTAGCCATTCAAGTATTTGAGGAATGAAGTGGTACTTACAGATATGGTATTACAGGTATTAGATGCCAGAGACCCACAAGGTACAAGATGTTACCATCTTGAGAAACATTTGAAAGAGAACTGCAAGCATAAGCACATGATTCTTCTCCTGAACAAGGTTTGCCTTGTCTGATAGGTTATTTAGATTCATGTGTGTGCGTGCATGTTTTTTCTTCTTAGAATGCTTTGAGAATGTAATCAAACACTTGAATTGGTAACCATGTCCTTATACAGTGTGATTTAGTTCCGGCTTGGGCAATTAGTGGCTGGCTAAGGGTTTTGTCCAAGGAATATCCCACCATAGCATTCCATGCGAGCGTCACCAAATCCTTTGGCAAGGTAGACACCGCGGTTACATGTACTCTTCATTCTTTTTTTTCTCTGTCAACTAGTGTCATTGAATATGCAATGTGCCAGAGGATATCATTTGGATGGACAATGTGTACCTTCATTTTAGGTGTGTGTTTTCTTTATTCCACAATGTTGGTCTCTGAGATGTAGCCTACTCCCTATTTCATGCTTCATATTATCAATGTAAAATCATCTCCAAGCTAACTGTCCATGCCTATGCTGCTATGCATATAGAAATTTAGATGTTATATATACTCGTATTATTTTTCATGCCAGTTGACTATAAGTCTATAATAATCTAATTGTTGTTCAAACTACGATTTCAGGGCCCTCTGTTGTCAGTATTGAGACAGTTTGCTCGGTTGAAGAGTGACAAGCAGGCAGTATCTGTGGGCTTTGTTGGTTATCCTAATGTTGGGAAATCGTCAGTTATTAACACATTGCGATCAAAGAATGTACGATCTCTCATATATTATAGGGAGTAGTTTGAATGATGTTTGCTTAACGCTTGCAATAATTGGTATTGAGTGGTACAAAGTGTCTTGGCTATTCCGTATAAACCTGGATATGCACGTATTTTTTTGCACAAGTATGCAGGCGATGCTTTTTTTATTATGGAAGATTTAACTCATTGAATGATTCGACACTGTGTCCATTAAAAATAGGTTTGCAAGGTGGCTCCTATCCCTGGAGAGACCAAAGTCTGGCAATACATAACTCTTACAAAACGGATCTTCCTGATTGACTGCCCTGGTGTTGTTTATCAAAGTAAAGATTCTGAAACAGATATTGTCTTGAAGGGTGTGGTATGTGATTCACAGCCATTTAGTTGTATATATAATCCAGTTAATAAAACTTGAAAGAAACAGATGTTTATATAATTGGAATGGTTTTTATGAAAATCTGTCAGGCTGGCTTATTGAACTTTACTTGGGTTGACTTGTATTCATTTTGTGTTGTGGTTTTATATCTTCAGGTACGTGTGACAAACCTGCAAGATGCTTCTGAGCATATTGGTGAAGTGCTGACCCGTGTGAAGAAGGAGCATCTTGAAAGAGCATATAAGATAAAGGAATGGTAATATTGCTCTCATGAGTGATTTCATTTTCTTGCTTGATTTAAAGAAGTTCTTCAAGATTTTTTTCTCAACTAATAAGTCAATAGTCTCACTAGATCGTAGGGTAAATTTCCTTTTCGTGATGGTTTGGTGGTGACCCCGGACTTCTTTTTTCATGTTGAAGCATTATTTATGTGCATTTGCCTCCATAAATGCACCCATTCTTGAAGCTGATTATCCCAATGATGTTTGTAGGAAAGATGAAAGTGACTTTCTTCTTCAGCTATGCCATGCAACAGGCAAACTCTTGAAGGTAAGTTCACATCGAATTGTTACTTGATGCACTTAACTTAACAAACCCAAACAAGTACACAAGTGCACATAAATGCTAATTAGCTTGTAGAGTGCCCTCTAATGCAAGCTTGAATTTCAAGGAAGTGTGGCTTTGAGGAACATGATGACTGAAATAGGGCTATATGCCCCATGTTTTAACTCCTTAGGCTGTGCAAGGGGTAGGCACAACTGCAGTTCGTAACTGGAACTTTATGTTCTAGCGCGCGAACCTTACAAACTACAATCAAGAATTAGAACCTTAAATAAGTATGCCAAACGGCCAGTACCAAAACCTTAGTGCACAGTTCCATTAAGTTTCATGGTTTTCCGGATCCAAGTGGTGCCCACCCTAGTGTACATATCCTGCAGCAGTCTTTTTTACTTCCTCCATCGCTAAATAGACTTCAAACTTTTCTTTTTCATCCATCCCAAAATAATCTTCAACTCCCTTACAAGGAAAAGAACATGTGGTTTGAAACAATTCTCGTTCTTTTGCACAGGGAGGAGAACCCGATGTAATGACTGCTGCAAAGATGATACTCCATGACTGGCAGAGAGGAAAGATACCCTTCTTTGTGGCACCCCCCAAAACAGAAAAAGCCGCAACAGAAGAGCAAAAGGACGGCGGCGAAGGAGAGGAAGAGGAGGCTAGAAGAGCAATTGCGGACGCACTGTTATCATCTCAGCAGCTAACAGACATTCCTGTTCAGACAGGCTTGTACAGCGAGAGTGAGTTGCGTGGTGACAGTAGCCCCAAGCTCCCTGAGAACGAATGATTTGCCCTCATCAAATTTTGTTGATGAAGTTTTGGAATTCCATTATGTCGTCGTCTATCTGCGAATCTTATTTATTTTTCTATCCACCAGATATTCGGTTGTTTTTTTTGAACTTAGTGCATGTAACAACAACCAGATGTGGTGTAATACCCCGAGTATTAGAACACGTATTAGTCGCCTCCGAGATGAGGTGGAATTCGCTATCGAGTGCAGTTATTTGTTATTCTATCGATGAATGCTATTGACACCATTGAGTTAGTACTTCAAATTTACTTCAATATGTGTTGTCATGCTCCAATCTTTCTTTAAAATTGTGCATGTCTTGTCTTTTTCTTTAAACTATCAACTTTTTTTAAAGATTTGTATTGGTAATAGTTTTATTGTTGCCAATTGGCAAACACGAGGATGGGTTAGGGGGGATGAACCATTTATGGAGTGCATCGTGGATATTCGATGTGGTAATATCATATCAAATGTTGATGTCAAAAGAATTGTGATGCTTCCATAAAGAGGTTATTCCCTAAAGAATACTCAAAAGTATAGACACTTTCTACATTATTTGTAGTGTAAAATTCATTGAGGTGTTATATCCATTCCTATTTTGGCTAAATATACTCTTTTTATGTTAAATGTACACTTTTTCCTTAAAAATTGTTTTGCATTTAAATTTTTTTTTTCGTATTTTTAAGGGTAAAGTTATCTACTTAACACAAATGAAGTGAATTTAGTTAAGGTGAGGGTGGATATATCAACTCTCCTATTCACGACCTTGAAATGAATTTATGATTTGTTTGTTTGATTTTTTTAAAAAAATGTTATACGAGTAGTAAAAGACAAAATGGTTTAGCTTGAAATGTGTAGACGTGCAAGAAAATTCACAAATCATATGTTTCTTTTCTCAATAATTTAAAAGAAAAGTGTGAAGTTTATTTTGAGACAACAGAAAAGAAAAAATGTGAAGCTTTCATTGAGACAATATAGCATTATATCTTCATATTAGACTATGTACTCACCTTGTGCTAAATCAACGAACTTGGAGACACATGATGTTCGAGTTGGTATGAATTTCGACAAGAATATTTTACTCCCACCCTTTTATATTCAAATTATACAATTTACATTTACATCATACTCATTTTATATATGTTTTTTACACATATCTAGAACATTAGGAAATTGATGTGAGCGCACTTGATACTTGCATTATACTCTTTTCGTTAAAAGAATTTTTTCATTTTGTTGTAAACACTTTCATTTGTAAAAATATAAAAATGAAAAGAACCCATTCATTCAGGGATGACAACAAGTCGCATTTTAGTCGGATGAAGCTTCACCATCATCTATCTTTTAAGTACACAATTATCATTGGATCCATCCATCGTCCGTTACACATACCGCACTTATCATTCGATCTACCCACACTCGCAATTGAAAATGAAAAGCATTAATAATGGTTTTTTTAAATCATTAATTTCATAAATCGTAGATTGCATAAACAAATTATGAAGCACAAACAAAAAGCACGTTAAACAAGAACTTAATGATAATGTTGGTATTTAAGATAGAATCTCACAAATAAACTAACTTTTTAAGATTCAAACAAAGAAACCTTTTAAACATTACACTAAGAAAGCATGAAATGGAACAGAGGGCTTCCTTGGAATGAATCCGATCCAATTATGATTTCAATTTTAATGTACTTTTTAAAATAAACATGAATGAATAGGGTGATTGGCCGGGTAATGTGTGAGAAAAAATTTCATCCAAAACTTACCTGATCCATTATCAACCTGTCCATCATAATTTTCTTTATCGCAATTATATCCATTAAATCGGGTTGCATGATTCGACAATCTAACGGATCATGTAGAATTGTCCTCCAATCCCTAAATTCAATCTTTTTACGTATACAATAATCAAATTAACAACATACGGAGTACATATTTTATGGTGGCACAGTTTTAGTGAAACTCGTTACTGTTGACATTGCGATACCACTATCATTTTGAGATACTTACGATTCTTCATTCTTGAAATTGATGGTTGCTATTTCCTTAAACCCTCCATCCCATCACTCCCCTACCTCTCTTGGATCATCGATTGGCTAAATGAAATTTTGCAGTCAATTGTATGAAATTCATTTCGTACAATTTATTTTCCAACTCATTACTTAATCTTATTAAAATCAGATCAAATCATAAACAATTTTAAATAATACTCCCTCCGTCCTATAATGATCTTCCCGGTTCGCAAAACGAAGAAAAATCCCAAGTTTTTCAATCTATTTTATTTAAATATTGGTATAGAAATAAAAATAAAGCATACATATTTAAAAACTACACCAAAAGTTCAACAAAACAAGTGGTGACAAGAATATTTTATTTTATCATATAGGCAATGAAAAAACACAAATAAATATAAATTCCCGTGAAGTTGGAATAGTGCTCTGGGAAGATCATTGTAGGACGGAGGGAGTATTATAATCTAACCGGACTCAATCTGATACAATGTATTCAAATCTTCAAAAAATCAAATCAACCATATCTCATTCCAACCTAAGGTGTCAAAGGGATCCATCCGCACGCTTATAATTTACTCCCTTGTAGATAAGAGTATTAAATACTTGGGCATGGCGAAATGTATGATGGATATTGGAGCACCCGTATTGGCGCCAAAATGGGGNCCCCCCCCCCCCCCCATCAAAACCCTCCCACTCCTCATCCTCCATCTCCCATACTAACCAATCCCGCATCTCATTCCCGCAACCATTCATCAATGGTTGCTGTGAAAGAATCCGCAGAAGAAGTGGAACACTTTCCACAGGAGGAAGAGGACAAGTCAGAAGAAGCTGGTTCCGGAGAAGAAGAAGAAGAAGAACAGGAGGAGGATGAGGATGAAGGTTCAGAGAAACCCGAAGAAGAAGAAGAAGTGAAGGGGGGAGAGACGAGAGATCTGAAGGAGAAGAAGGGCAAAAGGATTTCGGAACCCTCAACCCCGGTAACACCCAGCTCCAGTTCCTTGAGGCCCACCAGGGAGAGGAAGAGTGTGGACCGCTTTTATGCGGTTTCTTCTCCGGTTTCTTCTGCCGCTAAACCTCTCTCCATTCAGAAGGTAGCTAATGTCTTTACTCTCTCCCTCCCAGAAAAGGTTCCATCTGCGGTTTACTATGTTTGATTTGATCAAAGCTTTTTCCAATTCAATTTATTTAATAATTTGTGTAAAATTTGAAAATAATTTTTTTAAAAAAACAAAGTTGAAATATTCTACAAAACAAAAGATGACTGGACAATTTATTTTATCAAATGATGATGCATTGAATGAATGTACTCCTTCTGTGCCAACATAATAAGGTTTCTCTTCACTATTCAAACGGTTAGACTTTCTTTACGTATTATTATTGATCCTTTGTTCAAGTCACTTTTTTTGTAGAAAATTTTATGTATTTTTTAAATATATAATTTTATTTTTTAATTTTATACCAATTTTGGAAATGTTAGTTTGGGAGGGGAGATTTTACTTTGATGAATAGTAAAATGGAGTAAAGCAAAGCCGTTTTGGGGAGGAAGCAGTTTGTTCACATTTTCGCTTTCGTACTTCAGTCTACTGCTTCTGGCATGGGATATTCGGTTTTCTCAGAAACAGAATCTCTACTTCCGAGCAAGTAGCATTCACCCCATACCCAACTTTGTGTGGTATTCTGCTGGGTTTGTTGGTGTTTGTGTATACATTTTAGCCATACAGTTTTAATTTTATTGTTCTTGTTTCCATGAAAATTTTGACACAAAAAACTGGATATGTGGGAGTACCAAAAGTTGATTTCTTGTTTTCCAAACAAGTTCGATAAATAATACTGTAATAATAGAAGTTCTACTCTACTGTCATATCTCGTACTCTTCTCAGAAACTATCACACTAACACACCCCTCGTTGAACACAATCCACTTAAACCAAACTCACTATGGGTGTGGTGAGTGGAATAATGCTTCATGTATCTTAGAATACCAATGAGAACCGCCAGATTCCAATGGGAAGTCAGCATGATGTGGGAAAGGGGAAGAGGGTGTAGAATAGTCAAGGGGCTACTCTTGTCACCTCCCCAATGGATTCCCGCTAATTGAAAGTTACATGTTGAACTTTGTTGCGCTGCCATTTTCCTCTTTGAAATCAGTCAAATTAATTTTAAAATCATGCCATATGATTTGATTTCTTACTCCCAAGCATCATGTCAAGTCTCATTTATGTGGAAATACATGTATTTGTCACTTTTATTTTTTATGGACATCTTCATTGGGTTTAAATGTAGGGTCCAGGAATGCAGCTTAGGGACATCCCAAATGGTATTCTTTCTCACTTTTGTTTGGCATTACTGAGATTGATTATGACTTCATCTTTCTTAGGTTCGAGTGAATACAAATGGTTAAATTTAAGTGCACAAGTCATGTGACCTTAAGTTTACATCCTTCTTTAAGGCTTTAACACACACAAAGACACGCACACACACATGAGGTGGTTATTCGTGCATCAGGATATCACACATTTTCACATTTTCATTTGAACAACGATTGTACCACTAACAAATTGGCCACCATATCCACTTACATTAAAGAGACCAGTGTTTTTCTTCACATTGTCGAGGTAAACTCCTAGTTTAGTGGATTCAATGGAAAATTGATTAATGGCTTTAGCATTACAATCTTCATTTTCAAGCACACTGATATCATTTAATGATTGTGAGCATCACAGTAGCTTATAAATTGTCCAAGAGGAAACCTGATGAAAACCTACAGACACTCCACAACATTCTTTATGGAAAGAAAGCAAAGGTCATACAACTCTTATGCTCCACTTCTTTTTACCTCACAGGCTTTTGTATGAATCATGACCCTTGAGCCCTCAAACATCCGCTCTTTATATTTCCAGGCACGTAATTTGAAGAAAAATATAGGTCAATTTTCTGGATATGCGTGGGCTGAAGATGAGGTAAATGAGGTTTACTTTCTGATGCTTGTTGCATGTATGAGTTTCGCATCTATCTTTTTTTTAAAGGAACACACTTTTCATTGATGAACATTGTTTTCTTCAGCTTGAAAAGCAGAGGGGAAGGCTCCGGGATAAGTTTGACAAGTGCGTCAAAGAAAAATTGCTGGATTTTTGTGATCTCCTTAATGTTCCCGCTTATAAATCTTCAACAAAGAAGGTGGTGTATAGTGATAACGTTTTATGGATTGTGCTGCGCAATACAGTCCTTGATGTTTTTGCCCCTAAACCCCTAATGTTTAACTCTGCAGGAAGAGCTCACTCTGAAGCTGTTGGAATTTTTGGTGTCTCCTCATATCACAACTGATAAGTTGCTCGCTGATAAGGAAAAGGTTTTTTTTTTAAAGAAATCTTCATTGCACCTTTTCTGGGATCAGTTACATGTCTAAACAATCTTAGACGTTTAAATTTAAAGGTCAACTCTAATATCTTTTTTATTTTTGTTATCCCAGAAAAGAAAAAATCAACGAGGCAAGGTTACAAAAACTAAATGCTCCATAGATGCAACTGCAGATATCCCAGCAAAGGTCCGTATAATCATGAGTTTAAAGCTCAACAACTTTGAACTACTAAGTTATTTACATAACAACAACAACAACAACAACAACAACAACAATAATAATAATAATAATAAAATGGAAATATCATTACACTAATGAAACTGCTATCTGTTTGAAATATAGTACTTTTTTTTACTCTACATTGGTCACAATTTATATAGTGCCTAAGCTTGTTTCAGAAATGTCACCAAAGGATCTAATGCCCCAAAGAAATTGAACTATGGGATTTTCTTGAGTCCATAGGCTCACTTCTATGGGGTGCTTAAGCATGTTTCAAAATTTTAATTTAAGGACTCTAATGTCCAAACAAATTTAAATTCTTGATCTGTTGAAGCAATAATTCACATTTAGAATATATAGTATATGCTTGCACATGGTCCTCTTGTATCATAGGTGTTCCAAACATGGCTTTTCATAGAATTTAATATATTTTGTTAGATGTATATATTGTGATGAAGTTCATGGATGTTAATAGATTTTTATAAAATCTACACCAAGGGTTTCCATAGTATTTTTTTTTGTAAAATTTATGTAGTTTACGTTCCACATTAAATTTTCTCATGAGAATTTCAATTCATATCATTCAAACATTCTCTCCGTTCCAATCTTGATAAATTTACTTTGTATTTTATTTCCAAATCCATAAACTTAATGAATTTTAAGGTTGTGACCCCAAACCCCATAAGAGCAAACCAAGGGGGTTGGCCCATACCATCACTGAATTTCAATGTTATCACAATCAGTTTAGTTTGTTTCATGATATCCAGGGGAATATTTGTCACAAACCCTCTAGTCTCTATGGATTTTTTACTTTGTACATCTTACATGGGTTTGGTATCTATGCACTTCTAGATGATATATTGCCCCATATATGGGATAACTGCATTTTTGTAATGGGTATCATGCACCACTATTCTTTTTGTCTAACTGATTATTCAACGGAGCCTTAAAAATGAACACTTTCGGAAGCAGAAACCTGAAGGCAAAGCAGGAAGGAAACGGAAGCAATCATCAGAGAGAGAAGATGCTGAGAGTAGCCCCCCTAGGAGTGAGTCTGAGGAGGAGGATGGTGACGATGCAAATGATAATAAGGATCAGAAAGAGACTATTTCTGAGGACGACGACATGGAGCTAGAGGGTGGAGAAGAATACTCAAAGGAAAAAGTATTTATAAAAATCTTCATTGCACCTTTTCTGGGATCAGTTACATGTCTGAACAATCTTATACTTCAAAATTTAAAGGTCAAGCCTAATATCCTACTTATTTTTGTGATCCCAGAAAAGAAAAAATCAACGAGGCAAGGTAACAAAAACTAAACGCCTCATAGATGCAACTGCAGATAGCCCAGCAAAGGTCAGTATATGCCTGAGTTTAAAGCTCATCAACTTTGAAATACCAAGTTATTTACATAATAATATGGAAATATCATTACACTAATGTAACTGCTCTTTGTTCTGAATATAGTATTTTTTTACTCTACATTGGTCACGATTTATGGAGTGCCTAAACATATTTCAGAAATGACACACAAAGGATTCTAATGCCCCAAAGAAATTGAACTATGGAATTTCTTGAGTTCATATGCTCACTTCTATGGGGGGCTTAAGCATGTTTTGAAATTGTAATTAAAGGACGCTATTGTCCAAACAAACTTAAATTATGGATATGTTGAAGCAATAATCACATTTACAATATATACTATATGCTTGCACATGGTCCTCTTGTATAGGTGTACCCAAAATGGATCTTCATAGAATTTAATAGATTTTGTTAGATGTTTTTACTGCGATGAAGTTCATGGATGTTAATAGATTTTTATAAAATCTACACCAAGTTCATACATCTATATATTACTTTTCACAATAAATTTTCTCATTTGAATTTCAATCCATATCATTCAAATATTCTTTCCAGTCTTTATATATTTACTTTGTATTTTATTGCCAAATCCACAAACTTAATGAATTTTAAGGTTGTGACCCCAAACCCGATAAGAGCAAACCAAGGGGGTTGGCCCATACCATCACCGAATTTCAATGTTATCACAATCAGTTTAGTTTGTTTCATGATATCCTGGGGAATACATGTCACAAACTCTAAGGGTTTTTACTTTGTACATCTTATACGGACACCATTAGTTTGGTATCTATGCACTTCTAGATGATATATTGCCTCATATTTGGGATAACTGCATTTTGGCAATTGGTATCATGCACCACTATTCTTTTTGTCTAACTGATTATTCAACGGAGCCTGAACACTTTCGGAAGCAGAAACCTGAAGGCAAAGCAGGAAGGAAACAGAAGCAATCATCAGAGAGACATGATGCTAAGAGTAGCCCCCCTAGGAGTGAGTCTGAGGAGGAGGATGATGACGATGCAAATGGTAAAAAGGATCAGAAAGAGACTATTCCTGAGGATGACGACATGAAGCTAGAGGGTGCAGAAGAATCCTCCAAGGAAAAGGTATTTTTAAAAATCTTCATTGCACCTTTTCTGGGATCAGTTACATGTCTAAACAATCTTAGACATTTAAATTTAACGGTCAAGTCTAATATTGTATGTAATTCTGTGATCCCAGAAAAGAAAAAATCAACGAGGTACAAAAACTAAACGCTCCATAGATGCAACTGCAGATAGCCCAGCTAAGGTCAGTATATGCCTGAGTTTAAAGCTCAACAACTTTGAAATACCAAGTCATTTACATAATAATATGGAAATATCATTTCACTAATTGAACTGTTTGTTGTTCTGAATATAGTATTTTTTTAAGGATTATGCTATGTGTACCCCAAGGTTTGTACCCCAATTTGTACCCCGCAGTTTTGCACCAACACTTTGTGTTGGTGTAAAACTAATTTTTGTTAAACGCACCAACATTTGTGTCCGTGTGAATATTTATTAACGCACCAACACTTGTGTCGGTGTAAACCATCGAAATGTTTGTGCAAGCCTGTGGTGTACAAATGGGGTATATTTTTTGGTGTAAGTGTAGCATGGTCCTTTTTTTAATTCTACATTGGTCACGATTTATGGAGTGCCTAACCATGTTTCAGAAATGTCACCAAAGGATTCTAATGCCCCAAAGAAATTGAACTATGGAATTTTCTTGAGTTCATAGGCTCACTTATATTGGGTGCTTAAGCATGTTTCGAAATTGTAATTAAAGGACTCTATTGTCCAAACGGACTTAAATTATGGATATGTTGAAGCAAAATTCACATTTATTATATATACAGATATACTATATGCTTGCACATAGTCCTCTTGTATATGTGTACCCAAAATGGATCTTCATAGAGTTTAATAGATTTTGTTAGATGTTTATACTGTGATGAGGTTCATGGATGTTACTAGATTTTTATAAAATCTACACCAAGTTCATACGTCTATATATTACTTTTCACATTAATTTTTTTCATTTGAATTTCAATCCATATCATTCAAATACTCTCCAGTCTATATATTTACTTTATATTTTATTTCCAAATCCATAAACTTAATGAATTTTAAGGTTGTGACCCCAAACCCCATAAGAGCAAACCAAGGGGGTTGGCCCATACCCTCACCGAATTTCAATGTTATCACAATCAGTTTAGTTTGTTTCACGATATTCTGGGGAATATTTGTCACAAACTCTCTATGGATTTTTACTTTGTCACCATTGGTTTGGTATCTATGCACTTCTAGATGGTATATTGCCTCATATATGGGATAACTGCATTTTGGTAATTGGTATCATGCACCACTATTCTTCTTGTCTAACTGATTATTCAACAGAGCCTTAAAAACCTAACACTTTCTGAAGCAGAAACCTGAAGGCAAAGCAGGAAGGAAACGGAAGCAATCATCAGAGAGAGAAGACACTGAGAGCAGCCCCCCTAGCAGTGAGTCTGAGGAGGAGGATGATGTTGATGCAAATGATAAAAAGGACCAGAAAGAGACTATTTGTGAGGACAATGACATGGAGGTAGAGGGTGCAGAAGAATCCTCCGAGGAAGATCATAACTCTCCAATGAAAGATTATGGGACTTCAACCCAGCATAAGGATATCTCTGTGAAACCCTCCAAAATCTCAGATACGCCTACCAAAGAATCTTCCGGTTCAACTTTGAAGAGAGGTGATGATCCATCAACTAATCCCGATGTAGAAATCTCTAAGAGACAAAAGACTGCTACTGATAGCGGAGGGGAAGACCAAAATGCATCTGCGGCTGAAAAGGCTTCTCATAAGAGGAAGTTGTCAGGCAAGCCCTAATTATATGCTAAATCACAACTTCAGTTATTTTTTACATTTATTAGTAGGTAGGTCTGATGATAATTACTTTACCTCCTCTCAATGTATAGGGAAAGAGAAAAATGCAAAGGTTGAAAAACCAGAGCCCAGCAAAGAAGAGATATATGCCGCTGCTGTAGACATTCTGAAGGGTGCAAATTTTGACACTGTAAGTCATGCTTTTGAACGCTTTCTGTTGCCACACCACATGACTATTTTGCATCCGGTGGATTTGTAACTAATCTCTGGGCTTAAAAAATGCAGGCAACTCTAAATGACATAATCCGGCAACTAGGTATGACCATACATCCATATTTCACGCTGTATATGTACACGTGAACACACACTCACATGCATTCTCTCTTGAGATGGGAAATCCAAATTGTGTATACAGTAAAAGAAAAACTAGCTTATATGAAATTCAATACTATGATTACTATCATACTACAAGCTTGAGCTTTTAGCTTGGGGCCTGATCCATATAAGAAGAAAACGCACGACCCGAGTAGTTCGTGACATCTGAAATGCGGTGGTTGATTGGTTATGTGTAGGGTGCCAATTTGGAGTGGACTTTAAGGCCAGAAAAGCAGAGGTGAAGGCTATTATTACAGAAGCCATAAATGACATGAGTGGTGATGAAGAAGACGAGGATGGGGACGACGAAAGTGCAGAGCTCAAGTCATAACATTAATCGAATCATCAATGGGAATAATTAATCACAGCAACTGGCTATGGTTCTGGTTGGGATCCTTGAAATGGTATTTGTGATATGTTTGCATGAAATGCTCAGTTTGACTCTCATCTAAGCTTATTAGCTTGTATATGCTCTTCTTGAGTGTCTAGTTTTTTAGTGTAGCCATGTTTTTTATTTATTATTTTATTTAAACATGCAGTACTAGTTAATATTTATCATCTAAAAGTATACATTTGTTTAATTTTTATAAAAAGGGCGTGCAAGAGATATACTCCGTATAATATATTTTCTCCATCTGTTTCAAACTTGTTATGGTTGCTTTTCATTTTTTATCTATTTTAATTTTTAAATTATTGTGCTTGTTTTTATTTATAAAATATATACCACATACGAAGTAGTTCACAATGTTGTTCTCTTATGTGCATAAACTTGAGCAAATTAACAAGATTGGAAGCAATTTTTTCAAATTAATTTTGTCAAAATAATTCTCAGTGTCTAGTCAAAGGGAAATGGCAAGCGTGGAAGTAATGCTCATACAAGATCGGCACATGACTCTTAGTAATTGATGAATATAATGAGCTTGGCCCTACACAATTGGAATTAGGCCATGAACAAGATATGATGAGCTTAAGAGAGTCAAGTCTAAAAGAGCCTCCTGAGCGGGGCTAAGCTATCTCGAGAGAGCCCAGACTCAACCTCATTACCGGTTGGACTTGGCCTCTTTAGGCCGAGGCAACACCTCTCAACTAAGGAACACGCTTGTCCTCGGCTAACATCATCTTCATCCTTCAAAGATGGGCTCTTTTTCCTTGCACTTAGACTCGGTGCTAGTGTTTTGCGACTATTGTGTATTAGGTTGTGACTATATATTGTACCCGGTTCAAACATGGTCATAACGTTCTCCACTCTTATTTTGCCAACAAATGCACTCATTTGCCTATCAAAGGGACAACTCTTTCATTATTCACTCAATATACCAAAGAGATTCTCCTTCTAGGACTTTGCCTTCCCACACTACTCTCTTCCTAAAGCCATCAATAATGCTCCAACAAAAATAATACATGATTCATATTCTTTCTCTTTCACTTGTAGACCCATTACCATGTGAAGTTTCATTTTCATGAGTAAATCTTTGGTGACTTGTCATTGCTTCCATATGGAAATATGATTTGTCATCAAGTCACAAATGAAAGGGGGGTGGAGGGAGTAACTCGCAGGTTCCCTTCTCCCTCTCCAAATCACCATACTAACAAATACGGAGAAGAAATCAAAATCCATACGCAGCGAAAAAAAGGATTTAGCGTGTTAGGCCATACATAGAGACATTGAAGACTAAAAATGATAATTAATTCAAAAGCTAAAACAAATTTTGGTTCCCCAACCTTGATAGGACTCTTGTCATGCGAGAAGAACCTCGAGAAAAGTGAATGATTGCATTGGATTTTCTCATGGTGAGTGAGGGCTAAGATCTCCAAAATACAAAATAAACAGCAATATCTCTCGACGCCTCTACCAAGTTAAACCGCCTATACTATTCAATGAACTACAAATATCATTCTATAAATGCTGCTATCACTCCCACAGAATCAGCAAAAAGATTTCACTAAGATGTTGACTTTGGTCTTTTGACTTGAGTGCTATTCTCATTTCTCTTTGAGTAAAGCACCCCACTAATTGCTGGGGTTTACGCAGAGGGAATGAGAGAGCACCCCACACCAATACACAACCTATAAAACAAGGCTTGAAATGAACATTAACAAGCTAGTTAGTTAGTCACTACACCCATTTACAAAGCCCATCATCATCTATCTGTCTTGATATTTGCCCTGTTGCAAAACGGCGGCACGTTTATGTATGGTCAGGGTGATTCCTATCCAAACTTGATGATACAATAAAGGAATAATAACACATCCCACTAGTGGAAAAAGGCATTTCAAACCAAGCCAGCCCCCCTCTTGCCTATACACTGGGCAAGATTTTGCGAAACTTAAAAGTTTTGTATATATGATGACACCCTTTCACATTTCGCATTTCTCACTTCCTTTCCAATTGCTTTATTTTATCAGCCAGCTGTTGGATAGTATTGGAGGCCTCCTACACACACCAAACTTTCAAATCATTAGTAAAGAGCAAGATATATATCCGGCGGATAATCCTATATCATCACAAGACAGATTAATAAGAGAGGATTGAGGGGGTCAGACCTTCAACTTCTTTCTCAGATTCTCCTCTTCTGCATCGCGTCGCTGCCGCTCCTCGGAAAAAATGTCCACCAACCTTTCTTGATCCTTGTTTAGTTCTTCTATTTTTTGTTTTGCTTCATCTACCTGATACACCATGTTATAAAATGTAGAGCGAGGGACTCAGACAGTAGTCATACACACACAAGTACTTGCTAATGTATGTATAACATATGATAGGGTAGAGAGTTGGCCATTCAAGAATGCCCGCGTACAGAAAATAAGGGTAACTGAGATGATAAGACTATGGTAGATTTGCAGAAGAACGAGGAGGGGCATGGTTCACAATGTGATAGGCATGACAAGTTTGAAGTTGCATCTATAGAAAATAAGATTCATGAATCAGGGTTGACATGTGCAGAGGAGGAATAATGATGCCCTGCCGAGGAGGTTAGTTGCTTATCCATTTTTACAAATATAGTGCCTTTGTTGAATTTTTTGTCATTCGAGCTAATGGACTTCTATAAGTTGTCATCATAAATGGCTCACTTATTTCTGTGTTTGAAACGTGTAAAATTGGAGACATAACAACCCCAGTATAGTGAATGGTTGACATAAGAAAAGGCTAACTAAGCCCAACTCAGGGATGGCAGTGCAATCCTATCTATAATTACACATGCAATAATAGCGGGACAAACAAGGGAAAGATTCGCTCTGAAGGCTGAAACCGTGAAAAGGAGACGCACCTGAGCTTCAAGCAATTCATTTCTATCTCTTTCCTTCTGCAAATCATGCAGCAAATCACCTAAAATCTCTTCCTCACTTTTTTTCAGCCTGCAACGAGATGTGATTGAAATCATTACACACAAAGAAATCAGGTATACACTGCCAAGGAGAAAAGAGTTGTGACAAGCCAATCATTGCACCTTTCTTTTAATTCAGAGTTCTCTCTTTTCAACTGGTCTATGGTCTCCAACAAGGAATCTGACATCAAATTTCCACTGGCATTACCAGCAGTATCACGCTGTCAGAAATAAAGACAGGAAGCATTAGTCCAGGAACAATTTGAGTGTTGGAACAGCACGGGTATCTTTAGTATGATATAAGGTTGAAATGACAACAAACGGATATCAGTTCTAGTCACATGAATTTTCACGCTTTCCTAAAAGCTTACCTGCCCATATTATAGTAACCTAGTTACAAGATAGAACTTCTGGGATAAAAAGAAAGTGTGGCATATTTTGGTTACTCACAAAATAACACCAAACAGTGGATTAGTGTATAGAGTAGAGAAGTCTGAAGAATTCTCTATTATTATTATTACTATTGATATTATATTCGTTATTACTACTATTATTATGATTACTATGACTACTAGTATTATTATTATCATTTACCGCAGATAATAACAAAATGAAATTGGAAAAAAGTAACTTGAAGAACTGCCCTTCGTTCACCATGAACACGGCTATTTATAGCAATTATTACACCTTTCAATGAATCTGTTTCCAAATGTCCTGTCAGTTCATTTAAACTCAAAGGCTGCGATAATCCATTCAAAACAATGTGATTATTTGTTGAGAACAATAAATTTTTATACCAACTCAAAGATTGCTATTATCCATGCAAAACATTGGACCAAATTTGATTCACTTTTGCATGATCAATCAATGACCATGTGTTTATCACATAATTATTTTTTCATTTATACCTGTGTTTTCCTTTAATACTTCGTATTATTGTAATTAAAACTTCACATCCTTAATTAAGATAATAATCCGGTATTAGTAAGGACCTATCGATAAATTTCCAACAGAGAGCGCCTATTTATTATCTACAATCAAGCATTAACCATGGCTACCGAAGGAGACAATTAATACTTGTCTTCTAAAAATACATCACCATTGAAACGAGACAATTTCTAAATCCTAATTTTAGATCTAATGTGCTTAATGTGCACTTACCATGTTCAGTTCATAAAAGATCAATAAAAAAATTGCATTGAGCCTAACTATCTCAAAAGTATCAAGATTGACTGCTAATTGTGCGATACTAACAAATATTATATTGATGCTCATAAAGGCAATCTCCGCACTAATGAACAGTTCTTAAAATGATGCAAAGACTCTAATTACCTTCTCAGCATCCCCATACGTGAACCCTGGAGGTGAACACATTGCGCTAGCTGAACCTTTTCCATTACTTTTGCTGGAAGTTAACGACTTTGGAAGAACACCATTTTTTTTATTTTTCCCCTCACAAACTTGCACATCATCATCACTGTCATCTTCGGCCACTGATGAATCTGCATAATTTGCTCTACCAGATGTTCTATTTCCTATACTCTGTTTCCCATTCAGATGCCCGGTATTGTGACTCTTGTCAGACTTAGCACCACTCTTGTTTTTAGATTGTGAAGATGGAGAGACAAAGTCCTCCTCTAAAAAAAGTGAACAGGCATAATTAGTGAGGTGCATTTTCTCTTTTTATCATGCATTTTCCTTCTTGTCTATCAAAATTGAAATGTTAAAAAGCAGCATAAACAATATTCTCCAAGAATAGGTGGCAAGTACCTTTTTCCTGATTAGATTTCTTTCTCCACCTTATAGAATAACCAATCTTGTGACAATTTTGTGTCCTGAATAAAATTTTGAGACCGATTTCAAAACTAGACATAAATAAATGCTCCGTATAAATAAAGAAAATATGTAACAACAACACACCAATATGTCTTTTGCATTTGAACTAATTTGGCCTCAAGTCTTGAGAGAACAGTGGTGCGCTCAAACCCCTGCTTATCATGTGCAGGTTCAACAAAATTGGCCTCCAAAACCCCTGGAAAATAAGAAAATGAAATTAGCAATCAGGATATGCACATGCATAGTAGCTACAAATAATGGACAGAATCAAACCTATAACTCCACGACCATCACTTCCAGCGGGATTCCAAAGCCTCCAAAAAGGCTAAAAGAGAAATAAGATTCAATGAGTGCCAAACTAGAAATTATTTGACAAATAAAAAATTTGACCCTTTAAACCTACATGAAGAAAAACAGGTTCATTCTTGCATTAATAAAAACTGCTGTGGTATTCTTGTAACGGACTTACGTCATGTCATGCATACAATGTAGTGAGAATAATAGTAGGTAAAACAGGGTGAAACTAAAACATTTTGGAAATTCAGTTCCCTTGTTTAAGTCACCTAAAATAGCAAAATGCCTAGAAAGTTGAGAACAGGCATTGGGCAAAAATTATAACAATGGACAAAAAGAATGGTAAAAAAGAATGATCACATGCATGGAAGCAAAAAGTACTATGTACAAAGAGCTAAAACACATCAAAGAAGCATGAATGGGAAAACATGTCAGTATGTCATAAGCCAAAGCATGAAACAGACCTTAATAAGTCGATTTTTGTGATACACATTAAATCCTTGAACATCAATATGGGCTTTTGCATCTTTCACAAACCCAATAGTTACTACAGCAACCATCTGGAAGAGCCAAATACAAAGAATAGGAAATAACCATGTAATGGGGTCATTAACAACCTAAAAATATATCTGTTCAGAAATATTATATTACATTAGAATCTTTTGGAACCCCATCGGCACCCGTTTGAGGACGATACGTGACTTCTTGGGTCATCATCATGTCATTTACTATGTTGTGATGATGTACATCTTTACCACGAAGAATAATTCGGAAAGTGGATGGAACTCTGAGGTACAGAATTGATGTATAACTCTGAAAATATAAAACACAAGTTGCGATGATAAGGCCAAACATACTAGGGAAAACAGACCCCCATATAAGTGAAGATCATCTGTATTTTCCATTAATTTATTCAATCACAGTAGAAGGTGTGAAAAGAAATTCAGATATGGAAAGACTATTTAAAATCCACATGTTAAAATCTGATTGCAACTTGACCCAAGTTTCAGTCCTCATCAAAATATACAAGATCTCTTATAAATAGTAATTTCAAGATGGTAGAGGCATCTAAACAAATACACAACCAATAATTACTTAAAAGTAGAGGTAAGGTACTAATTTACCCTTAAAGAATGTCGATAAGTCAAAAAATGCCGGGAGTTAGGATACTGCTTTGCCATCTGTATGCTTTTATCATCTCTATTGACACCTCTTATTTGAATATCCTGAAGAAAAAATAAAAAAGGTATCTTATTGGTACTTCAAGATATCATGTTCAACAAAGAACCCCAAACAACTTATGAACAGCGTACATGCGGATCTGCATCGAAATCTAATTCTAGTAGACCTTGGTCATCTTCCCATAGATTGTATATCACTACTCGGGTACCCTGCTCTTTCATCTGATTGAACTGCCACGTGCCAAAATATGCCCATAAACAAAATAATAGATACACAACAAAAATAAAAGTAAAAACTCACCTAAATGATCATGACATGTGTAACACTTAAAATAAAAGTAGAAATGCATAACAATGAAATTTATAATCTCATGACACTGTTAACAACAATGTTTGAATTAAAGTGCATGATTAAGAAGACAGTGGTGTGCTACATACAGTTGACAGGGTATTAAAAGCAGTTTTATTTTCTATCACTTCCTCCCCCAAGTTGGTTTGAGAAAAAACAGTATATGGCATTAACCCACTAAAAGAGACGCTTCAGGTTTTGCCTACTGCCTAGGTAATAATAAAGTTCACTGAATTTTTAAGTTAGATTATCAAAGGTGTTCAATTTTACCTCAACCACTACAAACTACATTGACAATCATATTAAATCCATACCAGTTCGTCCGTCAGGCTCAAAATTGGGTTCCTCTGGATTCTATACTTTGAATCAAATTCATACAAGAATTTGAACCAAGTGGAGGTTAAAGCATGTTTCTATACATTATACAGTTTGTGTCTTGTAAGATTTAATGTCTATAGGGACAAAGTGTTTTGATAGCTTTGTTGTCATAGGATTTATGAGCTAAAATCATCATGGTGCTAACTTGCGTGTGTCCAGATTTATGTAGTTCTATTTTTCATTGGTTACTTGTATGGGGCAGTTCTATACAGTTTTACTCAGCTATGATTTGTGAGATCTAGCTTGAATATGTGGACAAACTATTGTAGGCATTGCTTAGTTTGTATGTTACAGTCTTACAGAGTATATACAAACATTATTAGGCTAACAGTATTGTATCTAAGTATATTTATGTTTCTATCATGAAAGCAGATCAAGGATTAAATTTAATAATATTTAAAAACATCAAATTAAAAAGAACATATGTGAAAATATTTTGGGAAAAGTAGTTCAATACTTGAATAGCTAAATGTAGTACTCCCACTGTCTTAAAAAGAAAAGTGGAAAGTATATTTTAGGATGGAGGGAGTATTTATTTGGTCATGTGTGATTAATATGTAAATAAGGTGAATGGCTAAATGCAATATTTATTTTGTTGTACAGGTCCGTTGGTCAATTAGATAAAAGGACAACCTTGTTGCACAAGTTGTGGTGCAGTTGTATGTCCTTGAGGCCACGGATTTAAGTGATCAGTCTTGGACTCTTGCAAAACTATATGTTAAGGTTTGCCAACAATACACCTTTGTGGTGGCAGCCTTAGTGCCTTACCCAAACCATCACAAAGCAAGGACGCTCTGTGCACCAAGCAACCCTTTTTTGCTGGTTGTTAGGAACATGACTGCATGAGATTTATCATGAATTTCTCACATTGTACTACGGCAGCTTATGTCGTAATAGGGTTAAAGTCATAGCTTGGATTCAGAGTGCAATAGTTAAACAAAACACCTCCTAAGAAAAGCTTCTAATGTACGGAGTAGCACATTATTTTTCCTATTCTGCCCATCTATGGAGCATCAATTAAGTAACAGTATTCTAGTGACCAAATAAAATATCTGCCAAAAGCAAAGGACACATGAATTATAAGGCAGAGGGTGCATTGTATTTTTATTATAGAGTAACAGAATGAGTGCTACGAAACAGTCATGAAGCATGCATAAGCATACTTGGAAAAGTTCACATAGTGAGATAATGGGATTCATATGATCTTCGAGTGTCTTCTATTTACTAGTCAAACATATTTAGGGAATTAATCTCTACTCAGTGATCTAATTTTACTTAACCCAACCACTGGTCCAATAGACATAGCAGATGCTACCCGTACTTTACTGCACCCAAATGATGAAGAGTTGGCATATTTAAATGCTTAAAGACAATGGAGGAAGGATAAAACTATAAGTCTCCTCCAATGAAAGTTGAAAATGAAATAAAAAGATTGATGTAATATTTTTAATATATCTTGGTAATCGAAGGTGATGTAATATAAATATAGGAAATGCTTAGTTATATCAACTTCTTAAAGACATTTATTAAGACATACACAGTTACACTATGTTTGGTTCATGGAGTTTGAAAGTGAAAAGAAAAGAAAATGAGATGGAAAACATTTTTTCTTATTTGGTTAGAGATAAAAAGAAAAGAAAAGTGGAAGGAAAAGTAAATGAGAAGGCAAAATGGACTGCAAGGAGAGAACAAAATTCCTCCTAAGGATTCATGCTAAAAGGAACGACCTTATAGGAGGGTTAGCTCAAAGCCTTACATTTTCCAGGATCAAAGTCTGAACTTCGAACTTAATACAGCTCACATACCATAATATGACTTGGATTTCACAAGAAAAGTACTCGAAGACCATATATGCTATTTTAAATTTCTAAATCTGTCCAACATTGACTTGGAAAGGCGTACAACAGGTTCCTAAGGGGATCTTATTGAGGTCATGAGGTGCTTAGAGTAAAAAGGGGGTGCTAGCAGCTTATATTCGAGTTGTTAAGGACCAGTGTGAGGTCAATAAGAGGCATAGTTATCACGGAGCCAAAGCGAGGCGCGGCATCAGAGGATGCCCAACTGATTAGACGTATGCCTAGGTGACAAGCATACTTGCCAGTTGGCACAATTCACAATATGTGAGAGATTAACCTGTTTAAGAAGATCAGCTTCGCTTGAGAATGGGGACCATCTAACTATATTTTCAACATTTCTGTTCCAATCTTCTGCAGACGACCGGATTATAGGACTCCATTCTTTCCCCTTACTTTCATAATCAAGCTGCCACATGATAAAAAGGGTGTAAGAGTTTGAAATGGAATCAATAATAACAGCAGCAAAGCAATACAATGAAATATGTACATTCAACTGAAAAAGATACATAAAGTTTGGATACAATCACATCTTGTGATGCTTATTCAAAATGTTATGTTATGAATAACATAGTTATATTTAAAAGTAACTTTGTTGGTCTAAAAAAGGATGAGTAGGAGCTAATACAGACATCAGATTCCATAAAAACTATATTAGCAGATCATTGGAAGCTTTTCAAGTATAAATAAGCTAAGCTTCTCAAGAAACTTTTATGGTTTTAAAATATGCGACACCCTGGCATCTTGAACTATCCCAGTTCAGAGTTGGTACAGTTTTGATTGAAGAGTAAGTTAACCACTTAACATCTCATAAAGTGCTAATATTTGTCAGAACTTTGAAGTGAATATGTCTGTATAACTGGGCTAAGCCTGCACCTATTCATACTTTCTAACATCATTACAAGTTGCTACATGGAAACCAATAAAAGTCAATAACCAATTTATTCCGGCTTTAAAGAGTTATGTGTAAGTTTCACCAGAGAAAAAAATCCAACAATCAACTAGAGTAATGGATACTGCAAATGGACGGTTTGAAGACAAAACATCATTCCTTCAAATAATTCGAAAAAGAAATGATGACAAAAACAACACACGATTGCATATTTGAACAATGAATTAAGTAAATAAAATTCTTCTCCAATACAACAATAGACCTGACAAAAATTGATCCAAGAGTGTAAAAGTGATAGAAAAAGTAAAGAGAGTGTGTAAAAGTGATTGAAAAAGTAAAAGAGTGTATAAGTGATTGAAAAGATAGAAAAAGTGAATGAATAAGTAGGGCTGTTATGTCAAAATTAGGGGTTTGCCCTTTGGGGTGGGACAGAGGGAGTACTTTAGTATGAAATATTAAGTTAAGAAATTCATGTTAGTATGTTTTTTTCCTTCATTTTACTCCCTTTTAATGTATAAATTCATCTTTCCTAATGACTTTTTAATGATAGTGTTGTTATCTTACTTTTTTAAAACTTAGTAAATATATTAAAAAAATTATTTTATTTATCATTGTGGTATATATCTAAACTATAATTAAAATTTCGAAGTATTAAATAGCTTTTATTGATATAATTTCATATTATACTCTCTCTATCCAAAAAAACTTATATTTACAATTTAGGATGTTTGACTAAAGTTATTTTTTATTCAATTTAATTAATAATTGGTGTAAAACTAATAAATAAAATTTATATATTTTAAAGAAGATGAAGTTTGACCGCATGATTAGCAACAACAACCCGGTTGGATCCCACCCGTTCCCACCAAGGGAGGGTGTGTGTGAGCAGACCTTGTCCCTACTCAAAAGTAGAGAGGTTGTTTTCAAGAGCCCTCGGCTCAAGCTACATAGATAAAACAATCACAGGGATACACAAAGAAGAGACAAAGCACATAGTACATACACGCAAGGAACAAACAAGAGCTAATGAAAGAAAAGTAATCCAATGAACAAGCACCAAGAAAGGAAGGCATGCAGAGCACACAACTACAAGAGACTACCCCTAGCCCAAGGTGCCTATCCAACTACTCTAATAATATCTCTCCAAACGCTTCTATCTAAGGTCATATCATCAGTAAGGGAAAAAAGAAGTCCTGTCTAATAGACCCGTTTGCTAGCAATAAACAACAAACCTTGTATAATATCAATCCTTGCGTCAATAAAAAACAAAGAGGTTGTTTGTGTAACACTCTTGATGCATTGTTGCACTAACTACCCAAAACTTCATTGAAAGAAAGAAATGAATGAAATTACCATTATCAGTCTGAAGCTAAAACAGTATCAATATGAATCCTTCAACTTCATGGGCAGTGGATGGTTAAGTTCTTCTCCAATCAATAATTTAAATAATTTTGGATGAAAAAACCATTTAAAAAATATTCCGAGTATAAACTTTAAAGTGACATCGAGCATGGAAGAATTCAATAAAATTACCATGGGAACAATAATATCTTCCATCCCAGTGCTACGCAAAAAGGTGTAGGAGAGGAGTCCTATACTCTGTGTAGGTCTGTAATGAAATAAAAATTCTAGTTGAAGAAAAGCTAAAGCCAACACAAGGAATGTTGAATCCACTCCATAGATATGCTTCGTCAGCGACGAAAATAAATTATAATATTTACTACATGCAATCCAATTGACATTCTCTGAATGATTTTAAATGACAAGTTTGAATGGAATTATGAAAACAATATGATGCGCCTTTTGTGTTTGAGCCTACAATGTTTCATTTTTGGATGATTAGAAGTCTACATAGCTTAAAAGATTAGGCAACATAAATTATCTTCCCTTGGGGAAATTACTAACTTGTTGTGTCATGCTACCTTTGTCCAAATGCATTCGTTCAGTTTGACTTTTTCAAGTCATATTGGACGAATTTTGAATCTTGATTAAATAAAAATTGTAACTCACATTAATATATAAATCATTTCATTAGATTTATCTTGTTGAGAACTTTCAACATTTAATTTCATTGTATTAATATGCAATACAAAAACAACCCAGTTGAATCCCACAAAAGTAAGATATGGGGAGGGTGTGTGTACACAAACCTTACACCTAATATGCAATACAAATTGAAAGTAATTGATGATTAAAGTTTGTCTAGTTTAACTCAAAAAAGTGAAATTGGATAAATACACCAGGACAAAGGGAGTAAGTTAAAACATGCTACATATGAAGCCAATATGCAACTAGGCAACAAAAAATGATCATACAATGCAATAGTTTCGGTTTAACCATCTTGAGAAGTGAGATTGCCTTTGATTTTAAAGTTGAAATAACACATACTCTGTATTTGTTTTTTTTTTTCAAATTTATTAGTCACTTAAGATTTGGCCTAGTAACTATCACAGAATCCATATATACCATATCCTGCATGCTTCCAAAGAATTCAGAAATGCAATTAAGCTGAAATGTTTGGAATTGTATAACAGAATCGTAATCATAAATATACTAAGTGAGACAAAAGAACCTCTTTCCGTGGCTCCCAGGACATCGTGAGAACACAATAACATCAGCTCCAAGCCTCATTGTACTCGTCTTAAATCCATTACCATCTAATAGAACATTGGAGATCATTAATCAAGAGGAATTGTGCACAAAATGAAAAGCTATGAAAAGTGCCCAACATGCAGGCAAACACAAGGGCACAAAATATCACAATAAGACTTACACTGCCCAATTGTGTCTGCAATTTTGCTTTTCACTGAATATCCAAGAGACATACATTGCCGAATCTTATCTGGATCCATTCCACCACCATTGTCTGAAAAACCGATCAAACTTAGGGGCTACATGCGCCAAAATAAAACAATGAATAGAAAAATATGCCTGGTAATATGCCATTCTGAATTAAATAGCACCAATCTAAAAGGGGGTGGAAAAAAGCTCTTGGGACTTTTGAGAAAATGAAAACGGGCAATAAACAATGCTTATGTGTGTACCCCTAGTTAAAACTTAAAGTGTGATTGACCCTTTAAAAAACTATTGGGTCGTGTCTCCAACTCTGCTGCTAATAAAAACAAACCAAAAAAAGCAATTGCTTTGGCCCATATTATAAATTATAGTATTAGTTCACTTTCTTGGGGTTTTAAAAAACCATTATTATATTGAGATTTCACCCTCATTTATGCCTCATAATTTGCAAAAAGAATAATTTGTAATAAATAAGTACACAAAACTTATTACGGGCAAACAATGAAAAAAACAATAAATGCTTCATAGAAAAAAATTATCTTATAAAAAGAACCATTAAATCCTAAATTAACAAGGCAAATTACAATTTTGGTCCTAGAGTTGTAATCAAATTTTCAGATATAGCCTTTAGTTATTTCACATTGTTTTGTTTTAGTCCTTTCACCTGTCTGATTCCATCAATAATTCACTTAAGTAGCCTAAATTGAAGTATCATCAACTAGTACAGATGTGATTAATTAGTAGAAAAATAAGTAGTCAGTAAATACAATGACCAAAAATACATTTAGCAGCATTGAGCGCTTTACACACAAGCAAAAACATCTTGGGCAATTTCATATGCCCCTTCTCTCAAATCAAAAGATGTTAAAACTGCAAAACATTCAGAGATTACAGCTAGGCGGGTGGCGAGAACCAGCCCCACCCACCCCCACCCCCGTCATTGCAGCAGAAGCAAAAAAGTGAAAACCATGAGAGAAGTGCGAGAAATGTTCTAATTTATATAACACTTATATTCTAAACATATAATCGGTGGTCCACATTTATATACACACCATTAAGCATCAACAAAACAGTCAAAAAGGAGAAAACAAATTCCTTACAAGAAAGAAATATAACTAATACATAGATATTAAGCTCACACCTTATATACTCTAACAAATTAAAAATAAAAAGTTGCAATTTTCCATGATATAGTGGATAAATACTGAAGTCCAAAAGATACCTTCAACCATCAACATTCTGCTCCCATCTTTCCTACTCTTGACCATGTCTATGTTCACATATGTTGCTCCATTAATGACCTGACCAGAATAAATATTGTAAATTAATTATGATCCTTTTTAGAAAAGATGGGGGAATGAAGATAAAAAATCAAAATCTTCCTAAAGTATGTGGCGGCATCACAATTGATCCTAGGACTAGATTTTACAGTTAAGTAAATTAACTCTAAAATTATATACATACATACACACACACACATATATATACTTCATTTGCCCCATTTCTTTCTTTCACTTTTCTATTTTGGACCGTCCCATATCTTTCTCCTCTTTCCTTATTTGGCAAATAAATACTAACACGTAATTGAAATTTTTGTCCTTATCCCACTACTCACTTTATCTCTTTCACCCATCAAATCAAAGACAAAATTGGAAAGTAAACTATTTTTACATTTTACATTATAACTCGTGCCAAGTCAAATGTGGAGGTAAGATATGGGACGGAAAAGAGTATATAATACGATTATGTACTCCCTCCATCCCAAAATCCTAAAAAGATAAGCCTTTACACAAAAGCATGCCAAACTTTGACAACTTAACCCTCTTAAAATACATTGGGAAAAGACCTCGTATAAATGTATAAATGGTAAAAAGTAGTTTCATAATTTTGTAGCTTCATAATTTTTTATTGTATTTTGTGAGAAATCAATGGTCAAAGTATGACACGGTTTCACATAAAGGCTTGTCTTTTTGGGATAGAAATAAGTCCCCATTTTAATATCACATATACTAGGCAATCATGGCTTCATTAACTTAGATTTTAAATTATGGTTGCAAAATTTTGATGACTATGGTGAAGAGCAAAGCAAAACAAAGCAACAGCCACCTCAAAAAGTATCTAAAAGGATAAGGTAGTACAAGTGAAATTCTAGAGTCAATCTGTCAATGATGGTTCCCAAGGTTCCATACAATGTGTAGATGCTGTCTATAAATCTAGGAATACATCAGAACTCAAAATCATTATTCACCATCTTCCAATTATAGTAGACACACACACACACACATATGCAATATATATGTAATGCACTTCAATATTGCTTAGATATTTTTAGGATTCGAGCACACACACACACACCACCTTCTCAGCACACCTCTTAAGGTCTGTTTACACCTATATAATGGTGAGTGCTTTTCATTTTCTTGTAATCAAGTCATATACTTATTTTCCTAAAATATTCTTGTTCCCTTTTATGGAAAAAATGTGTGGTTGATATTCTCTATTATTTGATTTATTTCCTTAGTTCATAGTTGTCCATTGCCAATCTATTGACACAAATAGTTCCACATTTTTTATATTAGGTTTGGTAACGTATTCTAGCAGTTACTTTTCAACAAAGCCATTTTTTACAACATGGTGCAAAAAAATAATTATATGAATACAATATGTGTGTGCATGTACGATTCAATATGCACATCAAATATTCAAGGTCTTAATGTCCACACGAAAGTTAAGATGGTAGAAGCTCATGCCATACTTAATAAACATTATAAAAAGAGCAAGAGTGAACAAAAAAGTTTTTTTAAATGATGAATACAATGATTAAACAATGGGATTTAAGAAGTTGTGGTCATTAGCAGAAATGGATTTATATGAGATGAAAAATTCATTCGATAAGGTTTGCTTACATGATTGTAAGCTCATTAGAATGAAACTATTAATTAACAAAATTAAGCTCAAGTCTTGAATAATGTAACTCTAACTACAAAAACTAGGAGATGCACATTCAGAGTTTTTAGTCATGAATTTAAACAGAGAAAGGCACTAGAAGTCGAATAGTCATGGTACGAAGAGTGAACTTCACTAAAAAATTGCCAAAAAAATAATTTTTTCACTCAATTCCTTAGCCACATTCATCCTTGTCTTTTTTCCATATCATTTCTCACCTCTAAAGAAATCATATATAAGAAGAGTGGCAGGGAAGAGAAACTATGATACCTCATCCAGTGAGTTGTCTAGAAGCTCCGCAAAAGCTGCAGATGCACATTTAATGAAGCAAAAATGAGGTATTTTCAAAAAACCCAAATTGAAAAATCTGTGTCATGAATATGACATAACCAACTCATGCTTTAAAAATTAGATATTAATCTTACCTCCGAGAACCCATTTGTGACTGGTTGCATTGGAATGCAAGAACTTAGGGTGAACCCTGACGCGGTCCATTCCACCTGCAGATAAAGAGGGGGGATGAATTAACATTTTAATATTCATTCAAAAACATTTACAATGATAAGTTGCACGGAGACGGGGTCGGGAATAGGGAAAACCCCATTTTTCAAAATTTTACAAAGGATTTAGGTGTCAGGATGTCCAACAAATTCATGCAAAAAGGAGACCCTAACCACTTCTACTTCAGAAAGACAATGGTTATCTTTTCTGTGCCAATATTAGTCCAAAAAACATTTTTAGTTACTAAAAAAAGCAATTTTCAACAACACTAGGTGCAAAAAAGAAAAAAAAATATTGATAGTTAAATACCAAATATTCTACTAGTGAATCTGATAGCTTTGAGGTTTGAAATTTGGAGTTCAGACCATACAAAAATCATTTATATTATATTGTCTTTGAAGCATTGCAGTTTTTAACTCTGTTAGGGCTGGTTTCTTAACAATGCAAAATGTAAGCAAAAGTTATGGTATCTTGACAACTCCGATATGCTTTTGTATTAGGAAAGAAATAATGATGCTAAGCAGCGGTTCACTAGTAAGGTATGCAGCAGCCAAAAGAAGTGGAGACTGGAGAGTCGCCCACTCGGCTGAGAATAGAGAAAGTAGCTACTACTTAAACTTAAGTACTCTAGGGAGTAAAATCCATAACTATCAGTTCTTCATTTGACATTCCAATAAATTGCTAGAGATGACTAGAAAATGATTGCAACACGATTAAACTTATTGCATTTGCAAATTACCAGAGGATGATTCCCAATCACTGCGGGGCGTCCCATCGAAATCCCCAGCCTTCCAGAACTGCTTGGAGCTAGTTTCAACAATGCAGCCCTGCGCGCCACGTCCGCTATTATTCTCAGCCTGCGCCGGAGTGGCGGAATAAGAGAGCTGAGGAGCCAAGGGGAGAGTCGAATCCAGCGGCTCATGCAGAGGATCTAGAAACCCCAGCGGCAACGCGACGCCGGACGTCCCCGCGCCCTTCCGCTTCTTCGCGGGCCTCTCCTCGTCGGAGTCCGAATCGGAGTCGCTGCTGCTGAGATCGATGATGGACATCGGCTGCTGAGATGAGGGGTTGCGGGGAGACACGCTGTCGATGAGTTCGCTCTTAATTGAATGCTTCGGATTTGCCATTAGATCGAAAAAGGAAGAAACCCAAGTTCAAATCAAATTTGGTGGCTTTCGAGATTCTTTTATACAATCCAAAGATTCGCGAGCAAATTGATACCGAGTATGATCCGTGCGTGGGTCATTAGGAAGGAGCTGTTATTTTGCTTTAAAAAAACCGAGTATAATTTTTTTTAATTCTTTTCATTTTTTTCAAACTTAGGTTTGAAAAATTAAATTTCAAATTCTTCCAATTACTTTTATTTCTTCTAACTTCTTCTAATTTTTCTAACGACGAATTTGAAAAGATATTTATTAATATATGATTAATGTAGAATAACATTATATATCCAAACTTATAACATATCACGTCAAACACAATATAGATGAATTCTTTTTTATCCAAAATTAGAGTTTTCTAACATATTTATTTGGAATCTCATTTACTTGAGTGACTTTTTAACACTTTAATTTTTCTAATATTTTCCAACTGGTTCAAATTTGTTCCAACTTTTTAAAGTTTCTTTAAACATCCAACCCAAAGGAGCATGGCCTAAGTCATTCCAGTTTCTTCCAACAACAACTTAAAAAGATATTTATGTATGATATGTATAACATAACATTATATATCCAAATTTATAATGTATCATCTCAAACACAGGCAAAGACATTTTTTTATTATCCAGAATTAGAGTTTTTTAAATATTTAATTAGGTGTTCATTTCAATGAGTGGTTTTTTAACATTTTAATTCTTCCAACTCCTTCTAGTATTTTTCAATTCTTTTAAATTTCTTTCAACTACTTTTATTTCTTTTGCACATCCATCTCTGAAATTTCAACCCGACAGAACTAGAAAATGACTTCCAAATTTTTATAACAACCAAAGGCCACAGTGATGAAATTGGAATTAGATTGAAGGTGTAATTTTTAGTACGTCCTCCTAAGATGCATCAAAATGTATTTTAATTTGCACACCATACACACCACCCCACACTTAAGTCTCTTTTTCCCCACTCTCATTCCTTCCTCAAATCTCTTCTCATTGGTGATGCAGGGTGCAACGCCGCTCTCCTTGTCGCTTCCATCCACACCGTTGTCACTGCTCGCTTCTTCTCTGTAGTCGTCGCACTGTTGTTCTTCAATAACGGCATTGTTGATGCCCACTCCTTCCTGATTGCCTCTACATCTTCGTTCTTCTTCAACAGTGTCGCCGTCAATGACCACTCCTTAATCACCACCGCATCTCTCTTCTTCTTCAACGGGAGAGGATCTCTAGTGAAATCTGCAGTGTAGCGATGCAAACAAGGTCTCTGTCGTGGTGACGAAGAAGTGATGACAGTGTCGGTTTAGGCCCACCAGAGTGGTGGATTCTGGTGGAGATGGCAATAAATTTTTGTCCAAGTTACACAGAAATTACATGTTCTTTTGTGAGGGAAAAATAAATGCATTAATCTTTCATCAACAAAATAAGAAAGTCGGATGGAGTAGACTCCAAAAGACCCATATAAGAGACCACTTGTCTAGCATGAGCTTGAGCTAAGGAATTATCAGACCTAATAACGAAACAAAACTCTAATCATCAATTAAACGCATTGTCCAAATTAATTTTTAGAGTCTTGGTCTAATAAAAAGTAACATATCATTCGTTTAATAATATGGTGAAAGGTGGTAATCTTACACTGATTGAATTGCACCAACCAATTTTTGAGTAAAAAATTGACCATAAAGTCAACAAAAAAATTAGATGGTGCAATTGGAGGGGTTGTGGGGGTGCTTAAAGGACGGACCGAGTTTAGGGGGGTTTACCGGGAAGCTGGGAGATGTAGGTACAATCAATTTTACGATCGAAGCACCGTATGTATCTCAGTTGAATTGGTGTATTAATCTTACATCAATTCAATTACTGTAAGATAACGCCTCCCCCCCTCTAAAATGTTTCTTTATTTTTTTGTGCAAGATAAGTTTAATGAAATAATTATTTATTAATATGTAATATAGAGAGTACAATTGTTATTTCATTGATGATAAAGATTCCTCGAATTTAACTTTAAAAAGTCAATTAAGACAAAAACATTGAAACTAAGGCAAATAAAATACAATTTTAGTTATGAATTCTAGTGATTTATTCTCTACGTGGAGTTAACAAAGTTGGGTGGGGGCCTAAAAGAAAAGTGGAATTTTTTTTATAAAGAATAGTGTGTTTCATGAATTCACAATATCAAGGTGTAAAACATTACTCCGGTACAAATGAAAATTGGAGGAACAGACACTCAGTCCAGATAATCAAACATAGAATCAGATAATCTAGGGAAGTGGCAAGTTCAAAAAAAATTGTATCGCATATTTTTACAAAAACTATTTCATTAGATTTATCTTGTACAAAAATTCAAAATTTTTGTTGAATTCAAAGTTTTTATTGTGTTCAAATTTTTTATTGTATTAATATGTGGTTAATACTACGTGAACACTTTTTTTTGTTCTAAAGAAAGGCCAAATACCACCAGTATTCCTTTTTTTCTAAATTTATTTCTAAAGTTTTCGTCCTTTCAAAATGTTGCACACATACTCTCTGATTATTTTCTAGCCGTTCTTCGGGCGAAGAAGGGTCATGGTGCCTATCAAGAAATCATTTTTTTTGTTTTTCCCTTTTTTTCCTTTTCTGTTTCTTTCATTAATTAAGGGTGTTTAAAATTTCTTTTAAAAATATTTCTAAAATTTCCTTAAAATTTTAAATTATTTTTCTTTGAAAAAAATAATTAACATAAGGAGTATACAACTCTCTACGTCTCAGATTAATAATTTTTATTTTTTGTTTTCCAAAATAAAAAAGAAGAAACTATTTTTTTGAACTTCAAAAAATGAAGAAGAAAATAAGAAAAAAATCAAAAAAATAAAAATGAATCCTTTTTGGACATCTCAATTCAAAGGACTTTTTTTAGGCATTTTGAAAATTTCTTTTTGAATTAGACTCTTTTTTGCATGTTTCAATTTCTTCGGTTCGTTTTTCTATATTTTTATTTTTTTTTTATAATGGAAAATTTTAGTATTTTCCGAAAACAATTTTAGAAAACAAAAGACAAAAATTGAAAATGTTTAATTTGAGATAGATAGAGTATATGTTAATTTATTTATTTTTATTTCAAACATAAAAATTTTGAATTTTTAAAAACGATATAAAAAAATGAAAAAAAATAAAAAAAAACTTTTCTAGGAAAAAAGAAAAAATTAATTAAAAAAGGAAAATAAACAAAATAATAAATGAAAGATAAGAAATGAGCACGAGTACCCCTATAATTTAAAAATTAGGCACCAATGTCCTCTCTTTGTTGGAAAATGACAGGAAAATTATCAGAGGAGGTGTGAGTGCAAAATTTTAAAACTACGGAGACTTTAAGAATATGTATTGAAAACAGAAGGAGTATTGGTGCTAATTTTACAAATCACAGAGGGCACTAGAGGTATTTGGCCTCTAAACAAATTTAAACAAACTTTTTGCTCTTTTGGTGCAAAGTCAAACCCTAAAAATTTGTTCCAGGACACAGGAACTACAGAGTATTAGACCTGGCAAAACAGAACCGGAACCGATTACCCGAACCGAAATATCCAAAATCGAAACCGGAATTACCCGAAAAATGAAGATCTGATCTATAACCGAAAACCCGAAATGATCCGAATCGAACTGAAACCGAACTAAATAATTCATATCCGATTTAAATCCGAAACCGATTAGATCCGAAACCGATAATATCCGAACCAATTAAACCCGAAACCGATTAGATCCGAACCCGATAATACCCGAAACTGATAAAACCCGAAACCGATTAGATATGAAACCGATAATATCCGAACCCGATTAGAACTAAAATCGATAAATTCAGAACTATGTTTGCCTTTCAATAAGCATATTATATTTTTAAATTTTTACTTTTATTTTACCATTTGAACTAATTACAATACTTGCTCATTCCCTCATAAAATTGATTATCTTCTTGGAAAAAAATACAAAATTTTATGCCTTAAATTTGTTATATGTAGAAATTAAAGATAAGTTATACATATAAATGATAACGTACAAACAAATAAAATTTCCGTAATTTTTAAATAGTGAAGTGTGATATTCTTTTTGGGACGAAAGGAATATATGATGAATTGTATGGAATAACTAGATTTTATCCTAATTTCATCTCATTACAATAAATTTTATTGATTTGAGAGTTAATTTGATTAGTTTCAAACCAACATATTAGTCAATAAAATTAGATGTTAGTGTTAGCATTTTGAAAAGACTCTCTAGCGGCAGCCTTTGCTGTTATAATTTTCAAATTTGATCTACACCATTACATTTAGGTGTAAAATTAATTATATTTGACTCTATTAAATTTAATTTTCTCTATTTTCAACTATATATATTCAATAATTTACAAATTTTGCACTCAATTGAATAAGATTCACTTAATTTCACCCAATTTTACTCAATTTTTACCACATTGTATTCAAATGGAACATAAGACTATTTGAATTTATCTTTTATCCTTTCATTTATGTACATAAGTATATTTCGGAGTAGTAGATGTGAGAAAAATTTGATATTTCAAAACTAAATTTTAAAATCAATTTAATTATATTAAATTTATATCATAATTAAATATATATGTTTAATTAATTTATAGTCCAAATTTGTAAAATATGACTAAAAAGTCAAAAAGGGAAGATTATTTAGAAATCATCCTAAATAGGACTAAAACATAAAGAAAAGTACCAAAATAGGACTTTCATGTTTTTTTCCCGAAATAGGACTTTGCACTGTGGTAATGTGGCAGTATACATGTGTACATTACTATACATTTTTGGTAATGTATATGACCATGTTTGGTAATGTAAGTCCTATTTCGAAAATAAAAACATGCAAGTCCTATTTTGGTATATTTTCAATGTTTTAGTCCTATTTTGGTCTTTCTCCCAAGATTATTTAGGGTAGAGATAATATAACTAGAAAAAAATATAAAATAATATGAGGTATTGAATTGATGGTAGATTGATAAATGTGATACTCCCTCCGTCCCCCTGTATTTGTCCACTTTAATTTTTATACACCATCCAATGTACTTCTTTAATTCATTTTATCTTGTAATTTGTATATTAAAAAATTATAAAAATTATATATTAATAATCTATATGTTAAGACAAATCAAACAAGATCACACATGACTATATTTAGACTTACACATTGAGAGAATTTGATGAGTCAAAGTGCTTAGATGAACAGTTCCAAAAGTCAAATGTGGACAAATACAAGGGGACGGAGGGAGTAAAACATAAAAAGAAACACAAATAGTTAAATTTTAATTAGAAAATAATATATATCCAAAATATATTTGATCCGAAACCGAAATATATCCGAACCGAACTAGACCCGAAACCGAAATATATCCGACTCAAATTGTATCCAAACCGAAATTTATCCGAACCGATTTATAACCGAACCGTATTTGAACCGACTCGAATCCGAACCGAACCGAACCGAAAAATGTATAGAACCGAAATCAAATCCGAACCGAAATTTAACCAATCTGATCCGAACCGAACCGATTATAACATATAAAAATATGTCCGAACCGAAAAAATCCAACCCGAAACCGATCTGATTGATCCGATTGCCACCTCTACAGAGTATAAGTACTCCATCCGTCCCAAAATACCACTCAAGCTCGGTTTACAATGTTTGACTGAAGTTTTTTTCAAATCAATATAAGTTAAAATTGGTGTAGAATTTTAAAAAATTACTCCGTATATATTAAAAAAACTATATGAAAAGTTCTACAAAAACAAGTTGGGACAATGTCATTTTATTTTATCAAATCATCAATGAAAATGTGTAACGGAAAGTAGTGTTAGAGGGTCCTTGGGAGTGATTAAGTTGTGGGTAAGTGATTTTCACAAAAGCTGAAAGCAGAAGCACCATATATCTGCTTCTCTGAAATGGTGTTCTATGTACAAAATGATGGTGAAGAAAAACAAAAATTGGTACGCCAAACAGAATAAAATGATTACCACTTAAAGTAAAAACTAAATTTTAAAAACTAACTCAGTGCCAAACACCCTCTTAGTTTGACCTTTGAGAGTAAGTCATTCATTTACCAAACAATTCGTAAATAGCACTTGTGGGAGAGAAGGGAGATACTGTGAATAACTTTACAGGAGATAATTAGCATTTCCACATAAAGATAACCTTAATACCTGCTTGGTTAAGATCAAGTATTCCATGTTGAGAACTTATTGCAACAATCTTTATCAGGTTTAACAAGCCCAACTTCACTCAATTCAACAAAGATTTGTCCTCAAAAGAGCTCAATGCTTTGATTATAGATTCATACACCTTGATCCCCTCCAAGAAAACAGTGTCCTTGAGAAACTGCCAATAAGTATGCATTGTGAGCTAAGTAGATGATGATGAATAATCACAAATTGATATAACAAAATGTTGATACGTGGGGAAATCTTTAACGAACCTCGTTATGATCGTGAAGTAAAATGGGCGTGTTCTTCATGGGGGAGAATCCAAAGGTTGGAATCCCTTTTTCCCTCATGAAACGAGCATCCGTAGTAGAAGATAGAATTTCTGGCTTTGCCAATCTGCCTCCGGCCTTTGAGATGGCTTCCTTTAAAACAGACCACCATGGGTTGGAATCAGAAGCCGGAGTCATCAGAGGGCGCCCCATGAAGTCTCTTAGTGTCCCTTTCTCAACAATCTGCAACATTACGACGGGCCTGTGAATTTTAATGCCAACTAAGACAAAGAGCACATTATTATCTTTAACGTAAAAGTAGTTTTCCAGAACTCTTCTTTGGACAGGGAAGAACTCTAACTTCAGGACTCGCAATTCGAATCAGGTTAGAAGAAGAACTGTATGTCATGATCAATGTATACGAAATAAGAGAACATTTTCATGAAAAGAACATTTGTTGATAATCATAATGCTCAAAATGAGTTGACCTCAAATGTCATGTTTCTCCAAGAAGGAGCCCATTCCTCAGCAATTCTCTTCCTCATTAATTCTGGATCAGCTGTAGGTGGCATCCGGATATCGAACCCAGCCTCTGCTTCTGAAGGTTGCATATTCATCACGAATCCCTGCACGCCATAGTTAATCTCACATTAGAATTTGTACACAAACAATGAACTAATTGGCTGTGAATTCCAAAGTCACTCACAGTTGGGGATGGAGTCCCAGCCTTCAAGTAAACAGGGTTAGCCGAAATGACCTCCGAATTGGCAGCCAAGCCTGCCTTCACCTTGTCGAACTGTGCTTCCCGGAACTTAGAGATGACCTCCACTGACTTCATCAGATTCTCCATGGCACTATTTTCGTACATTTTGGACCCGTGTCCGGGAACCCCGGCAGCCTTGATGACCATATGCCAGGGTACCCGGTCCGCGTAGAAAACCCTAAACTCATCAGTGGGAGAGGCCTGGCCTTCATCCAGCACGAATCCCACATTCAATTCCTTGAACTCTTGGGAACCTGTGAACTTGGCCATGCCCTCGAATCCCCCGATTTCCTCATCGGGGACGAAGGAGATGTGGATGTTTCGGAGAGGGGTGAATTCGGGGGAGTTGATTTTGATCGCCCTAATCGCTTCCAAGTACTGGATTCCGATGCACTTGTCGTCTTGCGCTCCGCGGGCGAAGATTTTGCCGTCGGCGGAGCGGTGGGCGGAGAACGGCGGGTGGGACCACTTTTCGGGCTCGGCGGGGACGGAATCGAGATGGGAATTGAGGAGGACGGAGGGAAGGGTAGGGTTGGAGCCGAGCCAGGTGAGGAGAAGTAGGGGCTTGTTTGGCGGGGAAGTGAAATACAGAACCTGTGATCGGAGACCGGGGATGGAGTCGGCCAAGCCGGTGAGGAAATTGACGGCGGAGGCGTAGTCTGGGTTGGGGTGGGCGGTGTTGATTCGGAGGTACTGCCGGAAGTGGGACAAGGGTAAGGGGTCCAAGTGCTGCTCCGCCGCAGACGTTGACGGTTCTCCGGCTGCGACGACGGAGATGAAGAGTGTGAGAGCTGAGAGGAGCTGGAGCATGGTGAAGCACCCGACGACACAGCCGGCTTGGTTTTGGAGCCGGCAGTACCGTTTAGCTAGGTCCGTTGGCAGGCTGGAATACTCCCATAGTCCCATCCTACTTTTTTCAAATTTAACCATTAATTACGGAGTACATATCAATTTGTATTTTATATTAATACACTGGTATAAAATTTCAAATGTTTTAAACAATTTAAATTTAATGAAATAATTTTTGTGTTGATACAAATTGTAATTTTTTATATTGAAGTTCAAAATTCATCTAGTTTAATTTTAAAAAAATTAAACATGACAAATACACTCAAAACAGAGATAGTAATACCTCATCGTACACAGATAGACTTTCACCGAATTCACTACAATTAACAAACATATTAATACTAATGTGACTATTATTAACAACAAAGAGGAATGCTATTAAAAATATCATACCTATAAAATGGTTCCACCTCGAGACAAATAAGAAGAAGGAAGGTGGGCACGATAAAATGGTTCCACCTCCGGACATGTTTATCATACCCACGACTGGGGTAGTTAAAGATCGAAAGTGAATCAGAACTCTATCCAACATCGTCATTTCTCGCAGGTCGTTTACGTCTAGGAACGACATCTAGATCAAAGTAATAAGCTGCAAATGTTGCAATCTTTTCCGTAATGTATGCCTCACAAATTGAGGACTAGACATGTGCCTTATTTGTGACCTTTTTCTTCAACTCTCCCAATTTCCTACAATGGTGGTAGAGAAATAAAATTATTTCATATAACAATTTATCCTAAAAAAATTAAGGTCTCCAAAATTATGATATAAACGACATAACATACTAACCTCTCTAAACAGTACATCCATCTATAGAAAATAGGACCATCAACTTTGGTTTTGTGCGGGAGATGAATGAGAAGATGTTCCATTGAGTTAAAAGATGACAGTGGAAACACCTTTTTCAAGTTGCACATCATCACTGCTATGTTCTGCTCTAAGTCTTCGAAATCGACAATATTAAGCACCGTGGAACATATACACTGAAGCAATTGGCTAACCTCGATAATGAAGTTTCAAACCAATTTAGGAACCATTTCTCTTAGAGCTATGGGGAGTAGCCTTTGAATGATAACATGACAATCATGACTTTTCAAATATCGCATTCTCAAGTTAGCGATGTCCATGCAGTTTCCTAAATCTGATGTGTACCCATCTGGAAATCAAAGTGGCTAGCTAGCCATTCTAATATTTTCCTCTTTTATTCAGTACTCAACTGGTATATCGCTTTCACCACATGATCGTCTTTTGTCTGGTTCAATAACAATTTCAGGTTTGTCACAATGTAACCATACATTCTTCCAAGAGCTCAGCGCGTCTTTTGTTATTTTTGGGAGATTCATCACTAGGTTGAATATGTTATCATCGACATTCTTCTCAATATGCATCACATTCAAATTATGGCGTATAAGTAAGTCCTTCTAGTACAGTAGCTCCCAGAATATAATCTTCTTCGTCCACTTATGATCTGTACCATACCCAATGGGGCCTTTTTTGGATTCTCTACATCTGTAATACTCAAAATTCTACATTTCCAATATTATCATGGACTGAATATTCACATGGTATGTGTAACATAAATTATTATTATGAAGTAAATATTTTCCTAATAATAATGATAAAAAATAACACATATATATAAGTATGGTGACACTACGTAGTAAAGGGGGAGAACCCACAACAATAATAGTAACACCAACTCTCTTAGCTTGATTCACGTGAAAAAAATTAAAGACATGTCCTCATTAATACACTATGCAGGCATCACATGAATTTGCCCACTTGGGAGTAAATAATATAAGAGCATTGCCAGCGGCAAGGATTTGCCTTGCCACGCCCTACCATCCGTGGAGATCCAAGAGACACAGCGGGAGTGGAAGAAATTGGGTCGCATGGCGTGTCGCGAGCCACTCCGATCTGCGAGGCGAGTGTGAGGCAAATAAAAGCACTCCGATCCGGCCGCTTCTCGTCTCTATCCTCTTCGGAAATCACCGGCGGCACCCCTCTTTGGAAGTCAGATCCGCTTTAGCCACCATCGTCGTGCCGATTTGAACGGCATCGCTGTAGGCAAGACACTGCTATCCATTTCGGAGTTCCAGAGAGCAATTCGGAATGTGCGTCGGACGGCTGCGAGCCGGCCGGAATTTGATAGATCTGACTCCGGAGCGAGTGAACAGAGATGCTGAGGCCGTGCAACAGTTCTGAAGCTTGTTCTGGGCCTCTATTTCTCTTTTTTGCCATTTTGGTATGTAAAAAAACTGTCAAAATTGCAAAGTAAACAAAAAAAAGTGACTTGCCACTGTAGGATAATGTCATGCCACTGTGTGACTAGATTGGTTTTGATTGGTCGAATCGTGCCATGTCAGCGTGTGACATTCCAATGCATGCCTTGCCATTGTTCATGCTCTAACAACCTCATCTATCACTAAAAAAATAAGGTTGTAACCAATGAAAACTCCACACTATATAAACCCGTAACAATAAGAGCGTGTCAAAATTTCAATACACAAACAAGCCCATCAATAACCAATCCCATATCTCAGCCTTTAGCAACCAGTGTGCCTGCAAACAGGAAGGAAGAAGAGTCACACCAAATAGAAGACTTCATAATCCTAATCAAACTCTACAAGGTGAGTGGGAATAATACTTTATACTTTTAAATTGTTTATGATAGTCCCTTAAATTACGAATATTTTTTTGGAATTCTAATTTAGAAGCCTCACAGTTTTAAACCAAATTTGGTATGTTGGGAAGTTGTGCAAGGGCACTTTTATTCGGACAATCTGGGTGGAAGATATGTGTTTTTAAGAATGAGTTGCTACCAATATTTTTGAAAAAAAAGAGACTAACTCAAACTGTTTTCTGAACGCAACGAAAAATAATCGTTTCATTATATCCTTGATAAATCTATTTTCTTCCAGAGCTAGAATTTTTGCCCTTCCTTAAAAGTCTCAATTTTAATCAACTTTTTGGAAATATCCTATTGTCAAAAAAAAAAGAAAGGAGTTTGAGTAAGTTTTTAGCAAAAGACATTGCTCAAAGGGATTCTTACCAAGTGTGTGTGTGTGTGTGTGTGTCTATATATATATATATATATATATATATATATATATATATATATATATATATATATATATATATATATATATATATATATATATATATATATATATATTTTTATATATATATATATATATATATATATATATATATATATATATATATATATATATAGGTTCCGGTGAGAATGAGATCTTATGAAAGAAATAAGAATGAATTCTAACCCTTGGATCTGGAGAGTTTCACAACCAAACTTCGTTTCACTGTATGGGCATTTTGGGGTTTTCATTTGTTACTCGTATCTATCCTTTTTAATCGTAGATGATATCCGTAAAATTTTCCCAAGATCTCTTCTTCTTTCTCTTTCCTTTTGGAATCTGTGCACGATCTATCTTCTTGCTTCTCATACTTCCACATTTGTGAGTTGCGACCATGGAGGATTTAATGACCAAACCATTGGTAAATTTCCTTAAAAACCTAGGCATGATTCTCAATCATCTTGAAATATTCAAACGAGAAAATTGCGATGAAATCAACAACACAATCAGGTATATTTTATTTTTATGTTCTCAATCATTTTTGTCATTTAACTGGATTAGGTTTCTCAAATTCTTTCACAAACTCATCTATGGTCTAGTTTACACTAACTATTGCACCAATCGATCACTTTTTACTTCAATTTAATATATTTTTACATCAATCACATTCTTAACAATCACCTTTATTGTTTTTTGTTTTTTCGTGCATCTATGACTTTTTATGACCAAACCATTGGTTAAGGTCATTAACAACATATACATTCTTCTCAATAATCAGCAAGTTGTCATTTGAGAAAACTCCGATGGATGCTTCTGTAACACCCCAACCCGCATGACCCAAACCCGTGAGACAGCGGACCGGTGTGCCACTGAATTGGTATCCGAATTTGCGACATTTTCAAAACAATTTTAAACAAACGTTCTATCAATACATATAAAAATCCATCGGAGTAATTTAAAATAATGCGGAAGCCTTTTTAAAGTCAAACAACTTGGGATCTTGCCTGAAAACGTAATAATCATTAAAGTTAATTAAATAAAGCATAATCAACAGATTAAAGAGACAGCCATGCCATCGTACATCTCCTCCTCAATGCCCTCTGGGATTGGCTCTAGGTTCATCTGTCTGTTCACCTACGAACAGCAAAAAGGAAAACAACGCTATCCGCTCAGCATTGACGCTGAGTGGTACTCCATTGTAGCACAAGAATAAACATAATAATTCAACAATTAAGATCGTGCATATGTTTATCCTTTTAATAAAAATCAATTCAACTTTACATTCGATTCTTTAGACGGTTGACCAACAGTCAACTTATTTTCTTTCTTTTCAAAACGATTTAGGTGTTACGTGTTTCTCATGAACTCTTTGACCACCGGTCAAACCAATTTAGACTTTCACCAAAGTCAAACCACTTAACATTTATTGCCTATGACGGAGATAGCCTCAATCCGTAATACCGAAGATGGCCTCAATTCGGTGGAGGTAGGATCCCTCGGGCGATGGCCTCAAACCCAAGATCGCAGACCCTCGTGCGCACGTCTTAACCTCACTGACCAGGCCCTGCAGCCGCCCGAGC